TACGTATCTTATGTTACTATTACCAACCCTGGCTTGCAATTCGCATAGACAATTTTGTCCGGCAACCAGTTTGGGAATGACGAGGCCAAATTTGTGTGATAATTGTTTTTAGGTCTAAGCATCATTTCAGCCTGGTTATCCGTCGGTTTATTTGATTGGCTCTTCAAGTATCCTTTGGGAAAGTAGACGACAGGCATTTTTAGAGAGCACGTGTGTTGACCAAAGTGAACATTGCTGGAGCGCCTCCAGTGTGATTTTTGCCGTAAATAACTGGAGGCCCCGGGCAAACATACCCAATGTAGAAAAGTATCTATCTTTCTTGTTTCATACAGAGCTATGAAAGCCAGGAGGGACGAAACCCAGCTAAATCAAACAACAGGCTTGCAAACGCGATCGTGTTGATAATAGCGCCAAGGAGTTTGTATGACTCTTTCTGGCAGTTTGCAGGGAATGAAGTCACGGAGGTAATATATACTTTTGCCTAGTCACCTCGCGAACGGTATTGGCTGCAAAGATCCATTTCGCTTTGTTTTATTACCGTGATTATATTTTGATTTCTGTGTTCCTAATTTCACAGATAGAACAAAATTGCTTTATCGTGTGACGTCACGGCGGGGAAACAGAAATCAATCAGTGTACCGAAAATTGCACGTGACGAGGGTAAGAAGGAGCTCCCCTCTTATCAGGATCCTCCTTTCCGCCTCCCGGATTTGCACAAGCGTCGCTATTCTCCTCCCAGAAGATTATAGATGATTAGCCCGTCACTCAAAATTCTTACAAAGCAGCTTCCCTCTCTCCCTCTTACATGGTGGTCAAAAGTATCCGATGTGGCGTCAGTGCAACGCATGTGTAGCGCTTCTAAAAACTGTGCTATCACGGCTGGCAACGTCAACATTGCATAAACTGCCGGTATTGCATCGTGAGGGAACGACTATGACTGAATAAACAGGAATAGGGAGAATGGGTGCGTGTGATTTGTTGAAGTCCGATTCAACAAATCGAGCTTGAACGAATGCGGTAGTATTGTATTCATTCAACCAGTTATATGAGTTTGCCGATGGAGTATAGAACGGTATACACCTTCCAAGTATGCGATTCGTGTTTTGCCAGTGGTACCTCAGCTAGATCAAAAAACAAAAAAGTCCGCGTTGCAAAAAAAAAAAAAAAAAAAAATTACGGTGATTCGAGCTGCTCCCGCGCCAAATCGTGTTTCACGTAAGCATAATCTTGGGTTCGATACACGACGAGGGGTCTTCAATCATAAAAATAGTTTGGTTACGATTATTTGCAGTGCTAAAAATTGAAAAGCGAAGCAGTGATGACAACGGTGTTCTTATAAATATATTATACATTTTATTTTACACTGTATGAATACGCTGCCGTCGTTATGTCCTTGACTTATTGCTCAATCAATAATTCTAGTAATCAATCTCTGGGGCATATCCGCGGGAAAAAAAAAAAAAGGTTAGTGAGCTTGTGACGGACAGGGAGGTCTTGCAGGACCATGTGATAGGACCTACAGTAAACCTGCCGTGCTTCGAAAAATGCTAGTCCAGTGCATACAAGCTTGTTCAAGGCGGACGTTGGGTTGCGCATCCGGCAAAGCACATTCAATCGCTGCCCACAATTTTTTTTTTTTTTTTTGAGCAGCGAAATAGTTTTTAGTTAAACAACAGGCCCGTTTCCTAATCCATCCTCCGTGGTAGCCCCTCGGAAAAGGGGGGGGGGGGGGGGGGGGGGGGGGGGGGGGAGGGAGGGGAGGGGTAGAGGTAGGAAAGGAAGGCAGGAGAAGAATTGGAAACACGAAAAAGTGGAAAGCGCGAACCACTTGGTCGGTAAACGATTGCTGAGAGTCAACACCGAATTCGGCGCTGATTATGAATCAAGGATGCGGCGTTTCAATGCAAAAGGCGAACCTTTAAGTCGATCATCACTTTAAAGTCGACATACCTCACGGCAAAACCTCACCATACATTCACTCCTTCATTCCTCCAACGTCTTCTTATTGGAACCACCTTCCCGCATCTTTAGTAAACATACCATTCATTCATTTATTTAGAGCTGCATTAGTTAATAATTTTTGCATTTTTTTTTCTTCTTTCTCGTACAAGTGCATTGTAGGCCATTGCTTTTTTTTTGTTTTTTTTTTATTTTTTTTATTTTGTTGTTTTTGTTCACTCCCCTCAGTGATGCCCTCTGAAACCCTCAGGGTATTGAAATAAATAAATATATAAATAGCAGTACTCGATGAGATAAAATAACCTCTCATCATCTATGTTCCCGCGAATGTGTTATCAAACGCAGAAGTCTGATCGCTCAACCTGCCAAATCGCGGTGGTTTCAGCCGTGCTTGATTTCACCTTTTATCACGGAAAGCCTCGACAATCGGCTCCAAAATCAGCATTGACTAAGCCACAACCGGTCAGGCGACACGTAGTGACAACAAAAACTGAACAGACTCTGAAGCCTCGATAATGAATTATCTTTCTTCTGACAGATAGCGTTGCAGACCTTCTAAGCCAATCAAAGCCTACCGAGTTACAGGAACGGATCTCTGGGATACTGCATCACTGCCCAGAGTGGAAAAGAGGGAGAGTTGGCGCTCGCCTGGGCTTATTCATATCGTCCGTGTGGCCACATATCCCGTCATCATCTGAACTGGTTTTGAGAAGAAGAAAAATGATAATCGTTATAATAATAATAATACTTTTACTTATTGTGCCCAGTAACAGCCGAATCCTATTGTTATATTCGAGCACTAATTTGATTGCAACAAATGATTTATTAGAAATAAATTATATCACTTGCAGTTGTTAATAATTATTCTTGAAATATTGAACTCGCCCTTTATAATTTCCGATGACGATATTCGCGTTGTACTTACTTTTGGCAATCATTTTGTAAGAACAGTAAATTACAACAGAGTTGCTTACTAGGATGGAGGAACAAATAAAACAACCGTTAAATAATGGATTGTTTTATAGTTCCCACATTCGATAATCCAACAAAACATTGAACAAACAATTTCCCTTCATCCTGATCACAGGTTTTTATTTCTTATTATAAAACCAACAAAGTATTTATTGACAACTCCTAGAACGTCTAAAGCAAAGCAAGAAAGAGCAAAAAGAGAGTGGAGGTGCCGGGGATCGAACCCGGGGCCTTTCACATGCAAAGCGAACGCTCTACCACTGAGCTACACCCCCAAGATGGATTGCGACGTTTTGAACATTGAATAAGAACCTTTTTCCTTTATTGCAATAAAGTACGTTTGATTTTGATTGTGAAACTGCTGAGATTTAATCTTAATGTCACAAAAACCTCTAGTAACTATTTCGTACTTGTATATCTAACAACTTGTGTTCCTGGTTGGATTTGTAGCCGCTCGTACGGCTAGGGCATGAGGAATCACGTGATAACAAAATGGCTGCCTCCACGACTAGGCGACAGGCAGTACATGTGTGCGGTCGATTATTTCTTAAAAATTCCGCCTTCGCGGCACATATAAGTAACAGCACGCTAAGTGCATCGGTGTATAGATTATTATCGACTAGAACCCTAAAAATAGTTTCACCATGCAACTTGCCAAAACATTCCACGGAGCGTGTGTGCGGCGTTCTATTCCGGACAGACATTGGCCGGCATCACTCCACCGTCCCAGAAAAGGATTCCCCCCTCGTCGAACAGAAGTTGTTACTGAAATATTTCCAAATGGTAGCGAGGGACCTGAAGCAGGTCGAGGAAGAGCTGGAGAAGTGCTCCCACGACTCGCAGCGCACGAGAGAGCTCACCGCGAAGATGAGCCGGCTGTCCAGCATCGTCGCGCTGGTCAAGAAAATCAATGAACTGAACCGGGAGATGGAAGGCCTCAAGGACCTCGAGCGAGGTGATGGCAACGGAAAATTTTGTTTTCTTGTCGGGGAATGTCTAGATGTATTACATTGGACGTAGCTGGTCAATTGCGTTAAAGCTGTAGTAGTGATCGGTCGTAGCACCATTAAAAAAAAAAAAGTTACAGTAAAATTTATTGGTGGATTTTCAGACAGTCCGTTAGCATGAGCCTTGGAGACGCCACACACGTCCCCGTTTAGGAAATGCTAACGCTGACTCCTTCACTTTTCTCATTCGGCTTTCTCTTTTGCTTGCTTTATTTTTTGCTGCCTCTTTTTGGCCTCATTACGGGGTCAGTATTGGCGTTTCCCAAGTATCATGCTAACGAATTCCCGACCAATCCATTATGGATCTTACTGTAATTTTTTTTCACCCTTTCTTTTTCACCCTTTCTTTTTCACCCTTTCTTTTTCACCCTTTCTTTGTACTCTGCCTGTCATAGTATGTTGACACCATTGGATACGGTCATTCATATCACTCTTGGAAACAACCGCATTTATACCACTCGTGGAAGGAACCGCACCCATACCACTCGTGGAAGAAACCGCATCCATTGCTCCACACGCACATCACAGCCTATGCACCGCTACTACGCAAACCCTGAGCGAAGAACAACCGGTGATGGCGGAGCGGCATCTGAGCACGCCAGCATTCCACCTTGCCTCGGCACAACACATCCTAGATAGCAAAGTCGTAGCGCTGAATGAGAGGGCGTCTTCAGAGAAGGCCAATGCTGGGCACAGATTGGGCACAATGATTGCATCAATGTTCGGCTCAAACTTGGCTCGAAACTGAGCGCTGATGCAGCACTCGTTTCCGATCTGTGTCCAGCAATGGCCTTCTCCGATTACGCCATCTCATTCAGCATCACAGCTTTGCTACCTAGGAGTTCTATTGCGGCACCTACACCTCTCGGACTCCGTGACAGCTGTGTGCGTGAGCAAGGATCATGTGACGGGCTAGTCAGTTATACATTACGATTTTAAAAGTAGCGCTAAAGACGAGGACAAGTAGAAGACACGGACAGGCGCTGTCCGTGTCTGTGTGCATGACTTTGCCGAAAACGAAGGGGCTTGTTTTGATGAAAACCCAGCGGCATCTGTCAGTTTGTCAGCGCCAGAGAGAGAGGGAGAGGTTCGGTGCGTGCCGAAGTCAGTGCTTCGAACCAATAGGAGCGTCGCATGCGTCACCCTCTCCCCCTCCTTTTCTTTCTTTCCCCGAACCTGACAAGTGAAAGACACCGCCGGGTTTTTGTCAAAACAAGTGTTCTAACGCTAACTCATTGAACAAGCCTGTTAACAGCTTCCTCCAGCTCCATGGAACGTCATCACACTATAATAATAAATAATAATAATAATATGTGTTACGAAAACAGCAGGGAGCCCTATCAGTTGCCCCACCTCCAGCATGAGTTTTCTATCTTTGATAAGGCATCTGCGTCTTGTTAGCCTTGAGAGTGCATTCGCAGCCAGTGCACGGTGGAAGGCAGCGAGCGCATCATGCTGGAGGCCGGGCAACCCAAGGAGACACCCTGCCATTCTCAACCTTTCAGTGGCCATAGTATGTCACCAACTTGGCAATTGGGCCCGAGTTCAACGCATCAACTGAACACGAGGCCGAGTTGAATTCCGACACAGCTGTCGCGTACGATTCATGTCCACACTTGATCTCGCTGCGATGACGTCAGAATTCTAGTGCACAGGCTTTGATTATTCTGGGTGGTGCCGGGCGATACCGGTCATCTTGCCAAGTTCACGGTCGGACGGTCTGATGCAATGACTTCCATGCTTGCACTTAATGATTTTCACGCAACTTCCATGTGACGATGGTTTCACGCCACTTTGCTGGGGAAACCGAGAGTTCGTCAGCAAAAATCACGCTAAATTTGAATATCAAAATGACATCTGCGCTAATAGAGAGTTTTCGTAGATCGTTTCGGCCGTCCGCAACCCGTAAACGGTGGTCCACACAGTAACTAATTCCTGTCAACATCTAGCGGACACGACGGCCTCCTTGTGTTTTGGGTAACCTCCGGTTTTTGCTAGACAATTTTTCGCCTCATAGGATCATATACTAAGCCCTCTTCTATCATGGGTTATTGAATGTTCTCGTGCTGACTGTCGAATGTAGCTCGTGTGAGACAGACACTCGTCAGACTTGGGGTTCAGGACCGATTTACAGGTTGATTTGTTACATGGTGCCATCGACTTATCGAACCACTTACAATGATTGTTTCACTGAGGGTATTGTAAGTTCCCACAAAGATGCAAGTTTTGGTGTGCACCTGACTGAGAGGTTCCAAGTAACACAGTTACTTTCTTCCCGTCACAAAGAGAAGAGGAGCTGACGGTTTCTGTAATTGTAACCTCGATAAGCCAGTAGGGGAGGGAAGCCATTGCAATTGGGGTGCGAACCGTGTGGCATTGTTTGCTCGGGGCATCAAAATATTGATTTTCAGTCTTGTGAGGAAACGGCTCAGTGGGTTGTCTAGTCATAGGTAAATTGTGAATTTTATTCAAGATGCTTTTGCCTTGTGATATCTAACGTTGCAAGGACACCACCTAATTCCATCTCTGCAGAAGATTACAATTTCCAGGTTCAGGAAACTGATTATTTGGTTGATAAAATGGATCACCCTGTAGTTTGGGCTGGTGGTGGCCAGGCCTTGCATAGAATAAATATTCTGGTGACCTGAAAGAATCAATTACGTGCCTTTCCACTAATCCAGATTTCACTCGAACCGGGGACAAAGATATGGTTTCCATGGCAGTGGATGACCAGAAAAACTGCCAGGCGGAACTCAAGCAGCTCAATGATCAGGCAAGTGCTTTGCAAGTGGGCAAACCTGGGGAATTAAGATGTGTAGTTTTCTCTGCACGTTTTAATAGGTGGCTAGCCAATGACTCCATACACTTCCCCGCATCACAAGTTTTCTGCAGGTAGGATACAGATGGTGTCGTTAAGTGGAAGCGGTGGTACTGTTTGTAGATAACACCTCCCAGCAACTGCCAGCCACTGTCGGAGCACCTCATACTAATAATATGTAAAATTGTATTATCTTTCTTGGGAGCGGTGGCCCATCTGCTCTAGTACTAACCTGTCCCAGTGGCCCAGTTGTCTTCTGTGACCTATGAACAAAAATTTCTTTTCTGCTTCTGATCAATTTCAATCCAATTTTAATGTTTCAAGGATAGCTAGCACATATAAAGGGAGTGAAGAGTTTAGGTGACGTTTGCAGCTCATTTAAGCAGCGTCCTTTTATGGTGGACCAATGTCTCAAAACAACCATTATGCAAAAGTGAAAAAAACAAACAATATATAGTGTGTGCACAATGGATCCTAATGCTCTAAAACAGGCCGGAAAAATTGGGACCTGCACATAAAACGCTTGAGCTTTCACCGTATGTGCATTTAGGTGGTGCATTCTACTTGGTGCAATTTTAAGGAGTCATTCTCCTTGTGTAAAAAATGAGACAAACAAACAAACTTGCCGGAGTCAATGGCAGACAAGCTCATAGACAATAGAGTTAGCGATGGTTGTTACTTGTGATGTCATCTCCCGATAGGTGCAGCCAGCAGACGATGCACTTTGTTTAAGCTTTTTATCTGCCGGTGCCAAGTTTTCAGGCTCATCTTACAGTGCTAGGATCCATTGTGGACACTTAGGAGCCATGAAAAGATTTTTCTACTTGCACTAAATTGTACTTAAAATCGCTCCCTAACCTTAATAACTGAATAAAATTGCCTTAGTTTTTCTTTCTAGGCAACGTCCGTACCCAAAACAATTCGAGAAATATGAGCAACGCTTAGCTCGTAAGCTCTGCAGCAGAAAAAGCGGCCGCATGGCCTGGTGCCCATCCTATGCTGCCAACATTAATCACAGCCACGCGCTGGGGTTGGCAGAGTAGAAAACACGTGCTCAGCTCCAGGCAGGATTAGAGTTCGGCTATTTTCATCATCGCGGTGACTGGACACGAGCCACTACCCGAGTGTCCGCCGAGGCATCGATTGTTACGAGCCCAAGTCAAGTGCTCACGCAGTTCTTGTGTCCAATCTATGAGCCGCGCTCGACTGTCGTCAGGTGGGTGGTTTTGATCCCACAATTACGTCGTCAAGCTTTGCGAAGACGAGGCTGGAAGAAAGTCTTGTTTATCCTCGCAATTTCACCGCGACAAAGAAGCTTCTGAATCAGTGGTGGTCCGTACTAGTATACTTGGGCCATACTAGGACTAGTATGTCTCTGTAGTCATAAACATTTGGTTTTGTCTTGACATAGTAGTTTCGATCATGTGCAACGTTGCCACCACATCATTCTTGCAGATCCTGGACCAGATCGTCCCGCCCGATCCAATCGACACGACGGAAGTCCTCTTAGAGGTGACGGCTGGCGTCGGAGGCCAGGAGGCGATGCTCTTCACCAAGGACGTGCTCGACATGTACGTCCGATACGCCAGCTGGAAAGGCTGGAGCTGCCGCATCGTCGACTACGAGACCTCCGACATGGGTGGGTGCAGACGCCGCACGCTTCCCGGCGTCAAACTCTGACCTGTCGTCGTAAAACGCTTATCAAGACAGACGAGAGATTACAATTTGAAGCCCGCTTATCCGAATTCCATGAACGCCAAACTGCATGAGAGTGATGTTACTGTCCCACCTTTTTGAAACGGCGACGCTCACCTTTGTTTGCCCGTATCACTTGTTTAATGCTGGGCGCAAGTTCGTCTGCTTCTTGCTCAGGGATTGCGACAACGTCAAAACGCCGAGCTTTTACTGGCTGATTGAAAAAAATAGTAGTTAGACCCCAAATCATATAGCATCGAGGTCTACACCCTATCCTTCCGATCAAAGCCAATCAGAAATCGACATTGCTCTGACGTCACCGCAACCCCTGCGCAAGAAGCAGACGACAGCATTGGCTTGCTACAACGACCGATAGGACGAGAACGGAGGGACGTTTCTTTTTGACGTCCGGCCTCCAGCGTGCACTCATTGCCTTCTGTGGCGCTTCGGCAGCGCAAGCGCGCTCGAGGCCCACGAGATGTCAAAGCGTCATCGAAGGGAAGAAGCTTGTGCTTTAGATGAAAGGACCAAAGGATCTCCCCTCCGTTCTAATTCTGTCAACGATTACGGTCAATCTTGGCATCGATGGATGTCCGAATCGTTTCTGTCATGTCACTTCCTGTGCCAGCAGCGAGAAGCGATCTAATAAGTGCGGGTTTATGTTTATGGAGCGTTTCGGTGCACTCTTGCGACTCTCGACAGGCGGAGTGAGGCACGCGTCACTCAACGTCGGCGGCCGGGACGCCGGGAAGTGCCTGAAGTTCGAGAGCGGCGTTCACCGAGTGCAGAGGGTGCCACAGACCGAGAGGGCAGGAAGGATCCACACTAGTACCATGGCCGTGGCGGTGCTTCCACTGCCAGCTGAGGTATGCGTACTTGCAGAGTCTTCAGACTCTACGAGTTTTCATCATCACAACTGACTTGTCTGTCATCATCACAACCGACTTGCTCTGGGAGCTCAATCTGAAGGGCAACATGTCTCAGAAAAAATTTTGTTTTTTCTTGCTGCAACAATGAACGACGCATCATTGAACGCTCGGTCTTCCTCGAAAGGTAGCGCTAGTGGCCCGGACTACTGAGATGTCAAGGTTTCAGAACTAACCGTTGTTTTATTTAGAAGTAATAAGTCATTTCCCGACTTCATTCATCTCCAGGTATTTGTGGGCCCTGCTTATAGCTTTTGAATCGGGTAATGGCAAGCTTTGAAACTTTGGCATCTGGTCCAAACTGCCCATTTGAGCGGAGACTGAGCATTCGGCAATGCATAGGTTATTTTCGTGCTAAAAATTGCTACTAACATTTTTTAGGGGACACTCCGTAGATCCAAGTTCCAGTACTTTAAAGGGGCGATGCAACGATTTTTGTACTTTGCGCAAATACCGCTTAGAACGGCTCCCCGACGTCAATAACCTGTGAAACACCCGTTCGTTTTTCACCACACGCGATCGAAGTCGCAGAAAAAAATGAAAGAAAAGCGAGCAGCGTTCACCCCCTCAACTTTGCAGCCAGAACAAGGGGCCATGTGATCTGGAGCCGATTGATTATATGCCGCCAATGTTGATCATAGTCATGCGCTGGGGTTGGCAAGGCACAGGACACGCGCTGAGTTCCAGACATTATTATGGTTCGGCTATTGTCGTCATTGCAGTGATTGGATGCGGGCCACTACCCGAATGCTTCTCAAGCATTCGGGTAGTGGCCGTGATTATCACAAGCCCAAATCAAGTGCTCACGCAACGCTCGGGTCCAATCTATGAGCCGCATTGAAATGTCATCACTGGGCAATACTACGACCGCCCAGCTACGTCAAGTTTTGCGAAAGAGAGATTGAATGAAAACGCTCGCTTTTGTCCTGGAAATCACACCACAACAAAGGAGTTTTTTGGCCAGTGGCGTCGCGTGCGCATATTGTTGAGTCCCACTAGTGCCAGTAAGCTCGTGTAAAGTGGAAAACATTCCAATTGAATATCTTTCCACCGCCCATTTAAACACACTGAATTCAACCTAACAGAAACTGAATTCAACAACTTTTTTTCTTCCATTAAACTCTTTTCAATTGTGAAAAGGCTTGGAAAACTTTTTTTTTTTTTTATTGAAGTGAATTTTCTTGAGGTGTGTGCAAAGAATGCGCTTCGAGAAATGTAACCAAGACGCAAAGGAAAGCAAAACTTTGCCCGTTTCCACTTTCATCTAAACATTAAAAAAAACTGACACTATCACATACAAGTTCAAAACGTTTGTGAAAAGTACTCTGGCAGAAAGTATGACGCAGTGTGTGTCTTTCTCATGGCTATACGCATAGCCAATCTTTATTTAGAGCTAGAAGCTTGTGCGCTATTTGTCAGCATTGTCCCCAAAGCATCCTTATTTGTAGTCTGCACAATTTGGCTGTGTCATAGATGTTTTACGTCCACAGGCATTCTTATGGTATCAGACTAGCACCACGTTTCTTAGACCTACCTTCCTTCCCACCTCGATTCATCCAATATTAAGAAAACCGTTACTTCTTCAGGTGCCATGAAGCCATACCCTGACCTACTAAGCGTCTCTCGGCAGGTCGACGTCGTCCTGAACAGCAAAGACCTGGTCATGAAGACCAAGAGGGCCAGTGGGCCCGGTGGTCAGCACGTCAACACAACAGAGTCGGCCGTTCAGATTCAGCACATTCCATCTGGTGGGTGCTTCACCTCAGCTTTTCGCAGAAGAGAGTTGCCACGGTTTCAAGGAAATTTCCCAAAGTCATTTGTTTATTTTTATTTTTTTCAGGGATAATGGTGGAGTCTAGTCAGGAGCGGTCGCAGCTCCAGAACAAAGAACTAGCGCTCAAGAAGCTTCGCGCCAAGCTGTACGAGATTGAGCTCAACAAGAAGACCAGCTCGCATGTGACACAACGAAAGCTTCAGGTATATTTCCAACTGAAACTCAGCAGAGACGGCCGTCGAAACACGAGCCCGTCAACAAAGCAAAAGGTTATCAAGAGCACAAAACCTTCGACATCATTCCGTTTCACGTGCAGTCGAGTAGGCATGCCTACGAGCACCAGCCAGGGCCGATTTTCTGTAAGCAGTGTCTTAGCTGACTGTGTCTCAGTCTTAGCTATCTCAGTCTTAGCTAAGACTGTGAAAGGAAGCCTGCAAACCCGGGACGTGCGAGCACTCGAGACTTCATTTCACACGCCACCACACTTGTGCGCTAGTTCCGAGGCCCCGAGGTTCTGAGGCCCCGGCCCCGGGGTTCTGAGTACCGAGGCTACGTAGATGTTAAATTTCATTATAGAGCCACTATTGGCACTCCATTCCCCGATTTTCTCGCCAGCGCACGGTGTCGGGAAACTTCGGCGATACTCTTTTGCTTTGTCGCGGACTATTTTAACATTCCCGAAGGATGGAAAAACATTTCCAGCAATTCGTCTATAACCTCAAAATTCCCATTTTTCAGGGGGCAAAAAAAAGTTTTTTTTTTATATGTTGTGTGCTTATTAACTTCCCAAAGATTGGTTTCGAAAATATTCATTAAATAACACGCAGGATTTACCTTACAAAAATTTTTCGGCATGCTGGTAGCCCGAGACAGCAGGTGGCGAATTTCAAAATGCTTTAGTTAGGGCTGCTTTGTGCACATTTAACGTAGCCAAAACATCTCGCCCTCATCGGAAGTGCTATTTACTTAAAATTTAAGCTGGAGAAGCTTGTAAAAGTGTCGGTGGCCAGAATTTCATACATCCAAATCGAAAAAAAATGTGCAAAATCTCGTTAGAGGAATCTCGCTGATGTAGACCCGGAAGGGAGCTTACAGTTGGTCTTGCCGGGAGACGCAATATTCTATTACCTTCAGCAGCACCCTTTTGACAGCATCTTCCACTTCAGATCATATTGCTACTTCGTCGCTCTTCTTTTGTACCATTTTCCCGTTAGGTCTTGGCAGTTTATCTATCAAAGAATGTCTGCTACCAAAGTTAGCTAGCCCACAATCTATGCACGCCGGTAGCTATTGCCAGGAGAACAGCTAAGTCTCGAAGAGGTAGGTGATACCCAAGCTCCAGGTGAAATTTAGATGCCCAGGAATTGTAGAAAACTGAGAAACCTCAAGTTGGAACTTCATATGCATCTTTCTCAGTTTCACTTTTTTGGCAGGAAATGTTGTATGAGCAAATGCATCATTCAATGTTTTGAAAGTGTAGACTTCATTCAGGGGTGTCCTGGACTGAAATTTTCTGAGGAACAAGCTAAATACACGTAACATGTGAGAAAAAAAGAAAAACTTATTATTAAAATATTTAAACTTTTTGTTGTTTTTAGAATTGCATTTTCTACAATTCATTTTCACCTTAACTGGCACTATTGGTACTCTACAATTTTGCAATTTTGTGGATTGCAATTATTCTTTTTTCTTAAAGGAGCTGTGCAACAATTTCATTCCTCTGGTAGTTGGTGTCTCGACCTTTCTGAAGAAAAGAAAAAAAAAAAAAAAAAAAACACTTTTGCCTGCATGTCCTAGTTTTTATTTAAAAAATTGACTAAGATTGAGGTTTTTAGCACCTCTCAACTCCTTCACCATTTTGCGAGTCACGTGCGCTGCGACGTCAATGGGGGACGCACAGGGTTCCGGTGAAGCTCTCTCTAGAGCCGTCAGTGAGTGAGAACTCACCCGCTTGCGACCACGTACTTGAGCAGCGCGATCAACATGGCGAAAGGAGGAAAGTCTCATCCGGGCCCCGCCATCCCCGTCCGGCTCTGTCCCCCTCCCCCTCCGGCGGCTGTTTGCGGTAGTAGGTAGAGCTGATGGTTTTGTGGGCCTAGGATAGATGGCGCCACTAAAACTCCGTGTAATAAAAGTTTTGTCGATGATACCAGGTTCTTTTTAACGCATTTATATTTATGTTGGAGAGACAAGATTCATAGCAAAATTACCTTTCATCGAGCAGGTATTCGCACAACTTGCTATCTTTCTACAAGACCCCCATTGACGTCACGCCGTGCATTTCTCATGGCCACCGCTTGCGGCTGCAGGTCAGGAAATATTCTAATTTTTGCCTCGTGATTACACGGCGGAATCACAGCATTTGTAAGGAAAATTTGTTTTCTGTCCTTAGTGACAAGATAAACAATGACAAAAGTAGAAGATGCAAATTCTTCCGACGTTAAAATAGTCGCACAGCTCCTTTAAGATGGCTGCAGTGTTTTCACTCTGAATCAGTGCCTCTAGGCATGAGCTTCGAAGAAAAGCAGAAAACCACTTCTTCACCCATCAAAACCTTAGCCTCCTCATTATGGCCGGCCACGCACGTAGGTAACGAGCCATTCCCTTTGCAGGTGGGCACAAGGGGACGGTCCGAAAAGATTCGCACCTACAACTTCGCCCAGGATCGCGTGACAGACCACAGGATTCCCGTGACCGTACACAACGTGGAAGACTTCCTGCACGGCCAGGACAACCTAGACAGTGTGATACGACGGTTACTGGACGAGTCTCGCAAGGAGATACTCCTTGAAGTGCTGCAGGGTGTGAAGTGAAAATGAGCCGCCAGTAGACAACACACACCTGCAAGGGCTTCTTTTTTTTTTTCTATTTATTTTCTCGTAGACAGCCGCCACTGTACAAACTTCCATGTTTATTCCTGAAATATAAAAACATAGGTCAATGAAAGCAGCTCTATCCCAGTCATTAGCACAAATTACCATGCCAGCTTGCTGCCTGCTTCTTTGAGCAAGGCGCAAGTTTCAGCCTAAACGCGATCAGTCTCGAATAACGTTCCAACTTTTCTTGGCCCTGTACCGTAAATCTTTTGGAGCTAGGAGAAACTAGAATACTAACTACAGTGTGCTTACCAGCTAATAAACCAAACGTTGAATTCTTAAAACCAGAGGGGAGATTACTATGCCAGCTTGCTGTCTGCTTCCGTCAGCAAGGTGCAAGTTTCGGCCTGAACGCGTTCAGTCTAGGAAAAACAAACTTTTCTCAGCCTCGTAAATCAGTCAGAGGTAGGAGAAACTAGAACGCCAACTACAGAGTGCTTACCAAACATTAAACTAAATATTGAACCACAAAGACCAGAGGCGAGATTTACAAAATGATCTCACAACAAAATTTAAGAACAAATTTGTATTGCATAGCTTACGGTAAGCATAACTTGCAAATGCAGGGGTGGAACTCATGCAATGTACTTGGGAGCAGCCACAGGAGCAGTTCTAACCGCTGTTTCGGGGCAGGTTGGGAGCAGCTAAAACTACATTCTGGAGCAGGCTAGGAGCAGCTCAGATCAGTTTTCATTGCACTTCAGCTTGTGTCTTAGACAAGCACGGGAGCAAACTTTGTGAGCATTGATAATTTCTGAGTGGATTTCAGCTGCTCAAAATGCAAACCAGCACTACTTATCGCACAGCCCACCCGTGCTCGACAGAGTGATTATATGTGCGAACTACGTGACGCGCGTAAGCAACGGACGTGCAGTTGCGTTGCGCAGAGGAACAGGGCGACAAATTTCGAGTTTTTCATATTGTGCACCTCAATATCGCAACAAAATTCGAGATGATCATATTGTGCAACTCAATATAGAAGCAGCAGACTACGATTAACGGAGTTATCGTATTCGAAGCGATAAGCAGGAGCAAGGTTAAAGTGCGCCGAACAGATCTCGCGTGAGAGCTGCTGGCCGGCAAGGTTTTGGATCGGACCGCGTTTCAGTTCTACCAAATCACGATTTATTTTGCAGGAATGTGGTTCCAACTTCGAACGATGAAGCGATAAAAGGAATCTTTTGCTCGTTTGTTTTCAACTGACTGACGTCCGGATCCCGGGCCGCAGAGCCTCAGGCAGTCTGACGCTTAACGACTCGACCTCACCTCGGCCGACTTGCTTAACCGCTCATGGTTGAAGAATAACAATCCAGTGGCAGGTGCTGTAGCGCTTAAAATCCGACCCCCGAGTTTTTTCGCACACTTCCGACTCGTGATACACGGGGAGAATAAAGAGAATAAAGGATTGCAAGACCGACCAAGCTAAACGCGATTATTGTTGCCAATCGAGTCGATAGAAACCGAAACCAAGACAAAACACAATTTTTTTTTTTTTTTTTTTTTGGGCGCGCGTTTTGCGATTTGGTGCATAATGGCGCTAGGTATTTATTGGCTATGGCGCAGTTTCTGAAACATGGCGCAGGATGGCGCGGACAAACGTGTCTGGCGCAAAATAGCGCAAATGGCGCAGCCGTTCCACCCCTGAAATATTTCACAGAGCGTCTAGCAAACTCTTATTTTGAATTTCCCTGACTTTTCCAGGTTTTCCCTGACAATTTCCGGGGAAATTTTCCGACCACTGTATATGCGGTTAAATATATAAGAACATTACAACACAAGGCATTGAGCATGGAGCACTGAGGATAATTTGACACGGGCCTAATCAAACTTGCATATTCCGATTTGTTACTAAATCTAGTAGCTCTAACTGGATCTAGCCTTCGCGCCCTCGATCCAATTCAATCCAAGGCTCCCTTCGCAGCGGGTGAACAGAGCCCGCGCACCTGCTCTAGGCTGAATTTACTGCCTATTGTTCTTCCCTCAAGTCTCTGCTCAGGACACTCGATGGCGTTTCCGGCTTATTTTCTCTGACTGGGCTCGCTTTTTGACAATACCCCTGACGATTCCCGGTTTTCCTGGTCGCTAGACACCCTGTTTTTATCTCAGTTGCGGCGCAAGACAATTTTTGTGAATCTGGCCTCTGAATCTGCAAGGTTCCACAGTCTCCAGCAGTCGGGGACATGAGCACCTTAATTGGATTCATCTTCGGATCTAACCTGACACCCCTGCAGAGATCCTCCCCCCCCAGAGTAAGCCAAGAGTTGACTGTCCATGTTAACATTTCTGTCGAGTTCCTACACAGACTACTTAGAATCGAAGACCATTGCTTATGCCCGGAGGCAGAGTGTCCCGCCGTGCATGCTTTGGGTACAAATAAAGACTCACCTCGGGCACTTCGATCTCGCCGCTGTTCACCTTGTCAATGACGTCGTGCGGGTGGCAGCCGTCGATGGTGCAGCCCACCGACTGGCAGGTGCCCAGGATCTCCTTGACCGTGCCGTTGAGGGTACGGGCCATCGACCGGGGACGCATCGTCCGCGAGATCGTCAGGATCTCCTCGAATGTCAGGTTGCCGCTGTGTTTCACTGCACGGGCGTCGTAGAGTCAGCGACGGCCCAAGGAGACAGTCGTACAGATGCGGAAGGCTCGTCCACACATACGGCACAGCGTTACCTCGGCACTATTACAGTCGCCGACAAGGAAAAGTTTCAGCTGTCCCGCCTTCTGCGCAAGCCTCCTACGTTTGATGATGCTTTCGCATCTTATGAGCCTCAAGCCTGTATACGAGGCAATAGCACAGTGAAAGGAAAAAGTGTCCTCGGGGGCAAGCATATGCAAGAGATGCCCTGGCATTCTTGTCTCATAGGTCGTGATGGTTGGCGTCGTTTCTAATCTCGGGTCGGTGCTGTGTGTGCAAACCAGTGCTTAAAGGACACATGCAAGGGAAAAAAAACATTTTTTTTAAACGGCTTAGATGGAAAAAGAACGCCATAAAACGATTTTACAACGAAGAAAAAAATGTTTAGAGCTATATTTACGGCGCAAAACGAATTTGTAGTTGGCGCCCGCGGGCATCGCGGAAAAGTGGTCCGTATTTATCGCGTGACTGGTCTTTATTTATCACGTGGTGCTTGCATTCTTTCGGAAGCTTCCTATGGCCTCTAAAAGTAACTTAGTCATCTTTGTTTGAAGTATAACAAAAAACGAAGATGAATAAGTAACTTTTAGAGCCCAAAGGAAACTCCTGAAAAAGCGCAAGCAGACGTGATAGACCTGCGCGCCGGTCAGACGACGGCGGCGGCGCCCCGAAGCAGACGAACTTGTGCGGCGGCGGCGACGGCGGCGTGGAGAAACGCGTTGAAGCGGCGTTCGCACAACGCTCAGCGTGCGGCGGCGACGCAGCGCGGCGGCGCGCGGGCCTACCACGTGACCAGCGGCGGCTCCCGCGAGCGCCAACTACAAATTCGTATAGCGCCGTAAATATAGCTCTAAAAAATTTTTTTTCTTCGTTGTAAAATCGTTTTATGACATCCTTTTTCCATCTAAGCTGTCTAAAAAAAATGTTTTTTTCCTTTGCATGTGTCCTTTAAAGCAATGGCTGAATTCTGTCTGTATGCACACGGAGTTTGTTTCAAACCAACCGAAGGCAGCCAAGCTTTAGAGAGAACTAGCTGGTTTAGTATTCATAATCAATCGTGCAGTGTTAAGGGCATTTTCCTCACGGTCACCGATTAGCCCGAAATTTTTTAAACACACCAACAAACATAGCTGAGATAATATCCCAAATATTAGGCCCAAATTTTTTTTTTTTCTTGCATAGTCGCTGAATTTGCAATTTTGGTTCTCGTGTTTTTCAAACCGCAAGTCTACTGGCAAAGATAAAAAGGTGATGGTAGTGGCAGGCAGGGGAGGAGCTCTCTTTGGGTAGTAGAATTTGTTCACAAACTGATCACAAGTTTCATGGTGTCAAATGAACGCTTTGGAAGTTCGTTCCAGCACCCGTGCGCAGCACGAAATAAATGCTCAGCGCAGTTCATTCTTTAGACTGCAGGCTTGACTGGCAAGTCTGCCCGTCACCGACGTCACAACACTGAAAAGCACGGGTCAAGTATATTTGAATGTTGGTTTTGGCATTTTCATTTGCCACTTCCGTAACACAACTATTCCGAATTTCGCTATACTACATACCGGAAGGTGTAAAGGCTGGCGATTCAGGCAATATAGTTAGTTGGGGTAGCTCAAAATATTGCCGTAGTACAAGAACACGCATGAAGACAAGAAAAAGGCAAGATGGACATATGCTAGCATGAGTTTATGTTATTACGATAATGAAAGAGGGACACAGAAGACTGACGACACAGGCTCAACACCAGATTGCCATCGAAATCAAAGCGACATGACGCCTACAGTGCAACCAGTCGTCCGTTGGATTGAGGGTTCGTGATTCGAAGCTATTGCATTTAGAATAAAATCTATGTGAAGGTCACACATCTATCCTTTTCTGTGTTGGTGAACAGGCTGCTACGGCATACAACGAAACACCCTTTCAAAAGTGACTTTTGAGCAAAATGTATCCACACACAGTGATTGTGACATTTCACAGGTCTTGTAAGTCACGAGTTTTCATACGACCGTGGGAATAAATGCAATCGAACAGCTGTGCACACAATGGTGATAAACTTCGGACGAAGTGATGATTTGAGCTTCTAAAGTCGTTTATTTGTCTAGCGTTTTATTGCGGGTAAATAGAACCCGCAGGGGGAAAAAAAATCCATTCTTATAAAAGCTGGAATGTCTTTCGCTCACCGTTCTTAACCTTCTTGCGGTCCCGCGGGGGCTCCTTCAGCGCCTTGATGATCAGCGACGCAGCGCTCGGAACCACCTCAATCTGTGCCTGCCTGTTCTGGATGATGAGCTTGACGGTGATTTTCAGGCCTTTCCAGTCCTGAGTGGCCTTAGCGATGTCATCGCCCACTTTCTTGGGAGACTGCACGGAGTAGAAGATGCAAGCGTGTCCCCATCAGACACCGTCCCACAAGCCGCCTCAGTACAATCGGGCACTGGTTTGAAAATATAGGAACGCTCAACTTACCAGACCAAGGGGACCAATTTTCGGGGCCAAGGCCGATGTGGCTCCGACTTCCCCGCCAACGGCTCGCAGGCACACTGGAAAAAAGAGGATGTGTTCATCGTAAACAGTCAATCCCGTCAAAGCGTTGGCGTTCGGACGTAGGTCGGCATGCGGATTAGAAATTCTTATAGAAGTGCAGTCGGCAATTACCTATTTTAATTTCCGTGGGATCAAACTTGGGAGGCATTGTGGAACGTGCGTAGGCGCGTTTGAGATTAAAAGAAGCCCTTAATTATGTCAGATTATGTTGGATTAAGTGACTGGTCACAAGTCGAACGAATCTCCCTGGCAGCCACCTTGGGAAAAGGAGGCGAACTTGTTGCCAACAGCGGTTCTTGCTTGAACTTGCCTTTTCGCTAATTTTAGCCAGTTTACGCGATCGTCAAGACAAATAAAGTTCATATGTGTATTCAGTGCAAAGTATCTATTCACAAAATAATCCTTGTAATGTTTTTTTTTATTTTTTATTCAAGAAGTTTAAATGACTTGTAAGCTGCGTTACAGTTGTGTCGGTTGTGTTATGCCAGTTTCAGCAGAAGACCGCCTTTTCTGAGGTCGACAACAACGGCACCGCGTGCGCTCGTGAAACATCATGGACGACTTGTTTAGTGTTTTTGACGATGCGCCGAAATCATCTGCTAAACTCTTGTCCGCTAAGACGGTCAAGTCTGAACCGACTCAGAACAATGATTCAACATCTGACGAAGCTGGGTAAGTTGTCCCTGAATTATTTACTTACTCCGCAACTACACCGCTATGCTGCTCTCACCCCCGAGTTTCAAAGCCAGCCAGAATTTGCGCAGTTGTCTTTCAAATTTCAAACTTGCCTCTTGCCTTTGCTGTTACTTAGTTTTCCCTCCTGAGTTTTCGTTCCCAGGTTCATCTATCCTATATCTCTGCAGAATTCTCCGTTCGTGAGTTTGTTTGATGGTCTGTATTCTTGCAGTGCCGACGACTTTGTCAAGTCTGTGATCGAAGGAAAGCGACCACTGGACCACGACATCGAAGATGAATCAATCAAGAAGCAGAAGATTTCCAACATATGGGACGACATAAAGTAAGTCTTCGAAAGCGCGTTTTCATCTGTTCGTGCAGGGTCGACAACCAGCAGCCCCACCTCCGTTTCTATTTCAAAGGACTTCGGTCCTGTGAGGCTAAGATTAGACACATGTGACACGTTCTCCCCGCCAAAAGTCACTACAAATATTTAAATGAACATATTACTTCATCCAGTGTCGCAGCATAACGCGCTTACCGTGTTTCAATCCAAGCAGACAATCGGCGACAATGCATCATGCGTGGTGGTCGATCAACTTCCTCTTTTCAGAAGCAACAAGCAGTGTTGGGAAGTACTTCAAGTACAGTGCTAATCACACTTGTCTATTAGCATCCTCGATCATCCGCACCGGTGCGCACCAAGGCACTGAGGTGCGCCCCTTCATCTTCGATCAAGTGCACCGGTGCGCACCGTACGTCCTCGATCAACGAAGCGCACCCTCCCGGTGCGGCTTTTCGTTGCCCCAACGCGCACCAAGAAAATCGGCGGTGCGCCGGGGGGCAGTCCCATCAGGCATTGCGGCCAGGAGCGGGAATCGAGAAGATGGCGGGAGTAGCAGACGCGCAGACTATCGAGATGGCGATCTTGCAAAAACGAACACGCCTCGCAGCTGCACTAGATGATTTCCTCGGGTCTTCTGACGGCGAGACGACGAGCTTCTCACCATCGCCCCGATTACTGGCGATTGCTGCGGTGGCAAGGAGCGCCCGAAAAGCACGAACTTCGTGGAAAGCGGCGCGAGGCGTTTCGATGACAGCGAGGTACGGCTATTATCTGGTGTTTCGTTTTCTTGAACTAATAATGATGGCCAACATATACATGTGGAATTGTCACCCGCTTCGTGACCCCATCGACAATCACGTCCACGATGTTTATTTCTGTGGGACCGTCAAATCCGCGAGTAAATAAATAGAAGAAATTGACAGCAGACGGGCACCGTGCGCTGACCTACGCAAAATAAACGAACAAAACGCGAAGTGACGCAAGGTGGAGCTCGCCGCGGTGCACCGGCGCGGCGCAGTTTGTCCTCGATGTTGCACCGACATCGCGCTGCACGACCGAGGAGCGCTGTGCACTGTGCTGGTTTCAGGGCGATTCCGGTGCGAGTTGATCGAAGATGCTATATAACGCGCGAGCGTGCGGCTTTCTCCGGGGAGCGCTAGACTGGTGCCATTCGCGGTAACTAAACTAGTCGCGTGGCGCAACATGGAACGGCCCGCTCGAGGGGTGTTGTCCCGCCCACTCTATCAGCTGGCGGCGAACGCGGAAGGCTACTCGCACGCTTTTTACAAACATCATTGCTCGAACAATAAACAAACTAAAGCATGAAGGCGTATCAACAATGTTGTCATCAAAAAACAAAAATATATCACAAAGCACTTTATTTTTATCGCTTATCAAGCTGATAGAGTGGGCAGGACACCCCTCGAGCAAGCCGTTCTATGTTGCGCCACGTGACTAGCTTAGTTTCTGCGAATGCCACCAGTCCAGTGCTCCCTGGAGAAAGCCGCTCGCTCACGCGTTATAGACAAGTGTGATTACGACTGTACATTGCACTCAAAGTACTACTTCAAGTAGGTTTACGAAACTTGTACTTTACTTGAAGTGCCTCCTCTGAGTATGTACTTGTACTTTACTTAACATATTTTTTTCTGGTACTTTCCGAGGAAAGTAAAATTTCCGACTTCAAAGTACACTCCCCAAATTTCGGTTCGTTAAATTTGTATCACGAAATGATGCCCTGTAAACTCCGAAGAAATACTGGGTGGGATATTCTACTCTCACCAAAGACGTGAGCAGACGATGCATTGCTCAGGTTGTTCTGGGGGCAGCTTCCCCGTAGCTTTTTGAACTCGGGCTACTTCTCGGTTGGTCAGCGCAAGCGAGGAGGTTTAAATTATTAGAAGAGCAAAATGAATCATAATCTAGCACCTGAACCTATGGTGCGGAACAATTAGACTTTCAAGTCGAAAAAAAAGACAACAGAGGAGAACGTCACAATGTTTTGAGACATTCCCTTTTTTCTTTTCCTTCGACTTAAAAGTTCCTTAATTTTTTTGCACCCCAATCTCAGCTGTCACATTATGGTTACTTGTCACAAGCTCACTTTCACACTCACTATTTTTTTTTTTATTGAAGAGAGGACACTTCTTTTTGAGAGGATTGCTTGCTGGAGCTACGGGGCTGACGTCATGGCGCAACAATCCAGTGCAAGCAGCGCCAAATTCAGAAGAGGGATTTCTGAATTTGGCTCCATTCATGAAAATGACTACTCGGCCACTTGACTTTATCGAATATTCGCCGCTGTTTTTGAAAATAGGTCATGCACCCCTGATTACTTCCGGGCAATGCATACCAGTTCAAAATCATTGTATAGGGGAATGAAAGGACATCATGAAAAATTGTGGTAAAATACTTGTACTTTGCTTTTAATGTACTTTGTATTTATAGTACTTTGCTTCAAGTACATTGCACCCAGTGTACTTTTTACTTTACTTGAAGTACATCACGTCTCATTTATTTTGTAGTTTACTTGAAGTACCTTTTAGATATACTTCACCCAACACTGGCAACAAGCAACTGAAACTACACATGAAAAACTTCAGACAAAGCGATGTTGGTTCGCTTAGTCTGCAGTTTTCGTGTGTAGTTTCAGTCACTGTGAACGTCTGCTGCATCCATTCATATATGCTCATGCACGGTTTTGTTTGCCCTTTGTCATAGCCCTGAAGACTACCTGTCTCACGTGCACGTGCACAAGGTCGAGACAGTCGAAGCATGCATACACGAGGTAAGGGTTGCATCATCCTCAACCGGAAAGTTTCGTCTGCCCAAAATGTTACGAGCAGGCATCTAACCAGGATTTTGTTTCGGGTGGGGGGGGCTCACCCATGACAAAATGCTGTATGAGGGGGAAGGGGGAAGAGGAGGTCCCAGCAAAATGGAAGAATTGGGGGGGAGGGGGCCCAGCCCCCCCCCCCCCCCCCCCCCCCCCTGGCTACGTGCCTGGTTACGAGCGATTTCATCTTGTAGCTGTACAAAATTCAGAATACCTAGGAGCAATGATGTGTAGGTGCTCTACTATTGTTGATGACAGGTTAGGGGCACACTAGAAGCTCCATTTCCAACATGTCCTTGTTGCCTTCCACAGTGCCTTGGCTGCGCATTACAACAAAGTGTCATCAAAGGCAGAAAGCTCATGCTTGAGTTGGTGATAGAGTGGCACTTACATGCAGATTAAAGTAAATCATTATAGCATAGAGACTATGCAGCCGTGGGAAGAACTTGAGAAAGAGACTCCGAAAAGCCTCGGAGCAGCAGCTAATGTTTTGCCGGGAAAGTTACCATCAGGACTGCAAAGAAGCAGTCTTTTGGTGAAAAGTTGGAAATGCTAGCTGCTGTCAGGCTTCTGTACTTCATTACCTCTTGTGAAGGACCACAGAGGACGCTGTGAGCCATCCAAACCAATTCAATGCTGCACGGGTGTCGCATGCACTTCAAAAGGTGCACAATGTGACGCAATAGGTTCGAAGCGCTGGGATGGCTGGTAACCTGCGTTACAGTCTATCGTAAGGTAAAGCGGAGTATGGAAGGCGCCTTTTAAGATAAAGGCTGGTCGTGGCATTTTCCTACCGATATGAAATGAGTAGAGAGGAGGAGCGGCCGTGAGAGTTAGAAGCCACATTGTTCTGTTTTCGTCTAGGTTTCATGTTTTCCTTTTTTATTGTTTCTAAGTGACCATTCGTTTTGCATTGACCCAAGGACCGTAAGCCAGCAGACAAACCGGAAAGTACAAAAACGAAACTGAAACGGGGGTCCGACGAATTCACAGAGATGCGCTCCCAAACATTTGTTGCCCCCCAGGTCGCAGTGCCCGAGGGGATGGAGTATGTCCCCCTCAAGCGCAGCACGGACGGCTCGACGGCGCGCGAGTACCCTTTCATCCTCGATCCGTTTCAAAAGGAGGCCATCCTCTGCCTGGAGAACAACCAGAGCGTGCTGGTGTCCGCCCACACTTCGGCCGGAAAGACCGTTGTGGCCGAGTGAGTGGCCCTCTGTGGCTCTGAAAGCGGTTTGGTGCCAGGAAAAAGAGAAAGGCCTGCACTCGTGTCTTCGCTTGCTTGGAGAACGAGGTGCAAGCATTTACGCACACTTTTGTCAGGTGTCTCGAAACGTTAAACTCCCCAAAAAATATTCTTATTGTACCTGGATGGAATATGTATGCCACAAAATGAACTTTTCCCCTTCCCCCCCCAAGAAAAAGCAACAACAAAAAACAAAACAAAAAAAAAATATTTTTTAAGTGTTCGTTTAAAGCTTGGCTAGCATCCATTGGAGTCTGTCGGCTTGCCGCGTCTTAGGTTGTTTTGACAAACAGAGGTGCAGAAAGTGCCCCCCACACTCATTGTTAGGCAAGTCAGCAAAAGCCAACACATAAAGTTAAGCCACCATAATCCAATGCAATCCAAATCATGACCTCGGTGGCGTTATTTTAAACAAAGATTTTTTTGTGGCTCTAGCACTTGCACCTCTAATTAAAAAAAAAAAAGTAAAAATAATAATAATGCGAATGTAATTTTTTCGCATCTGGCCAAAGCATAGTATAGCAATGTGTCAACATGGGATAATTGCAAACTTGGGACATACCTTGTTTCCCCGACCTTACTTGTTGCTTTCTTGACAAGTTCTGTGGTCAATATCTTTCATGGTTATACATCTAATGTGTGAACTCAAGCATTGAATTATATCTTTGAACATGATGTATCGTTTCAACCTCACAGAGGTTCAAGCACCCTTAGGTGCAAAACCCCAACAGGTGCACTGTACTCCCCTTGCTACAGTTTTCATGTTTTGCTAGCATATTTTAGAAACATTATTTATAGAAAGTAGTGGCGAAAATTGGTTGTGTACAGACACTCAAGCTGTTCATTAAATATTTGAACAAAGCGATTGATTATGGTGGTTCCAACTACAAACCTCTTGGTTGTTTGAAGCAGTAGATAGTTGGAATAGCCATATGTGAACATTATGAGTACCGTAATATCCCCAGGGATGCCCCTCCTCCGAAAGATAGCCCTCCCTTATTTTTGCCATGATTTGCAATTATTTTTGCCTGAAACTCCAAGAGATAGCCCATTTCTAGTAATTGCAGGGCCTGGCCACTGGGCACCTCGACAAAAACGGCGCTACCTAACTACACCGGGAGATAAGCGAACATTGCGGATCGGGGAGGAAGGACAGTCGTTTTTTGTTCATCGCTCCGTCTTGCGATCGCAAGTTACGAAAATCACAAAATCTGAGAGTAACATTTTTTTTTCTTTTTAATGGCACGTCGAACGTGAGTTTACAAACTTTTATTTTCATACCGTTTGCCGTCGATTTTAAGTGGGCTATCTCTGGGGATATATAGTAGAAATTTTTTTTTAGAGATGTCAACTTCTTGTGGGTTTTAACAACTGTAGCTGGTGCGAATATTTGCGATTATGAGGCTTCCAAGCTGATTTGTTAGTAAGCAAGCGACTTACACTCTCCGATAGTCTGCTGCAGGGTAAGAAAAGCAGGACAGATCCCTCCCACAAAGCTCTCCACACTTTCCACTTTGCCAGAGAAAATACTGGAGGAAACTGCAAATCACGGCAAGCAGAGAGCTTTGTGGGAGGTATTTCTCCTGCTTTTCTTTACCAGACTATAGCTGGGGTCTTAGCCCCTCTATTTGTAAAAGTGGCACCTTGCATTTTCAGGTACGCCATCTCACTGGGCTTCAGAGAAAAGCAGCGGGTCATTTACACCACTCCGATCAAGGCTCTCAGCAACCAGAAGTTTAGGGAGTTTACGGACGACTTCAAGGACGTTGGCCTCATGACGGGCGATGTCACCATCAACCCTAGCGCCAGCTGCCTCATCATGACAACAGAGGTGACTCGTTCACTCGGGTATTCAGGGATGAGGGTGACTGCCGACGGAAAACCTGGCAGAACCTGGAAGGAAAATTTAGGGAAACTTGCAGGAAGTTAAGGGAACTCGTGGGAAGTTGGGAGATTCAGAAAATAAGAAAAACATGACTGGAATCGTGGAAAACAGAAAGGCGGCCCACTCTTTGAAATGCACATGCAGAGTGCTTGGCTTTCACAATTTAAGCAAGCAGTGACTATTGTCGGTCATCTAAGAATGTAAGGGTCTCAACAGTGACTACCATCGGTCATCTGAGAATGTAAAGAGTATCAAAGGATGCTCGAAATGTGAAAATAATTAATTTTAACTGTCAAGGTGTTTCGATTTCTTTGCCCAGCGTGTCACCACTGTCACTACAGGTGATTGTAGGCATCCCTGTTCCACAACTCTGCTGGTAAATTTTACCACAACGGCCAGGGAGGATCTAGGGAAAGTTGGGAGACCGTGGCAAACTTCTCAGTGATACGGTTGGGAAACGAGGGACGGCGTCTCATCAGACAGGATAGCGCCAATGGCCTACCTCTCAGTACGCTCTTGTTCGGTTCACCTCTGTATACATATTTGATTGTTAAAACACATACTGACGTGACACAACCTTTTCTCTGCAGATCTTGAGGAGCATGTTGTACAAGGGCTCCGAGATCATGCGGGAGGTCGGGTGGGTCGTCTTCGACGAGATTCATTACATGAGAGACAAGGGTGAGTCTCGAATCCCAAGTCCCTACTGCCCGCGATGGCCGACTTTGGACGTGCCGCAATGTTTGGATGTGTTTCAACGTTTAGACGCATCGCTTTCTGTGCAGAGCGAGGCGTGGTGTGGGAAGAGACGATCATCCTGCTGCCAGACAATGTGCGCTATGTGTTCCTTTCGGCCACCATCCCCAACGCCAAGCAGTTTGCGGAGTGGGTCTGCCACTTGCACAAGCAGGTGAGTTGGGACCACCGCCTGGGTACCTTCGGTGCGATGTACCAAGTTCCAGGAGTCCTTTTGCATGCCCCATTGTTTGGCCAGGTTACCCGTACGATTGCTTTAGGCGTTGTGAAAACGTAACTAGACAGTTGCATAATCATTTTTTTGTGCGATTAATTACTACTAATCTCATTACAATATTGCTTGGACTTTAATGTGCACCCGATGTATAGTTCCTGGGAAAATTTCAGCCTCGAAAAAGTTTTCCTTATATATCTCGCATCCTGTGCATATTACGCACGTAAAACAATTCTGTCTAGCACACCTTGAGAAATGCCTGCTCTATAAATGCATGAAGCAGCTTGGATTATACAAAAAAGATTATCAACATAATTAGCCGTTCACAAAATCTGTCATGTCTCGTCCTGACGTTTGTAAATAGTCTGCACCGCATGTTATTTCAAGTTCTAAACATTATGGTGCAAAGCATATGGTACAGTGCTCAACGAAACGAAATGGGCCAGCGGAACGCATGGCCTCCAGAACTTGCTGCGCCATCTACCGATAAAAGACGGGCTGCCTGGTGACGCGAGTCGCACATGCGCAAAACTGATACGAGCGCTCAGCGGCTGTTCGCACACAGGCGCGTAACCCCCGATAATCTGCGCAGGCCATGATTTTGCGGAGTGACCACGTTTATTTTTCCTCAGAGACACTGTCGTGATGATGTGCATGAGTTTATCTTGCTTCAAATATATAAAAAAGAAAAGATAAAGCTTCATTTTTTATTCCATAAAAGATTGATGAGCCAGCGCGTCCGGCCTTTTGCAGCTATAATATATTAATGCAGATACCGTAATATCCCGAGTCATCGCCCATCCCCGAGCCATCGCCCACCCCAATTTTTGGGCCAATATCGATTTCCGAAAAAACACCGAGTCATCGCCCACCCCTTCGAATACCCCAGCGCGGACTCTGCGATCCGCGAACACTCATCCTACCCGAATGACGCGGCCGCGGACCTTACAGTTGGAGGACGTACGTCCGTGACAAAGTAAAACGAAGGAGGGAAAGACACTTCTTTTTGTTTACGCATTTCCTCCGTGAGCGACCCCGAAGTGGTCGTGTATCCGTGCGAAAAGAAAACGATGCAGATAACAAAATAAGAGTTTGTTAATGTAACCGCGGAGTGTTAGGTCAAAGTCTGTCTCCGCCGAAGTAAGGTCACCGCGAACCCGCTCCTTCTTCCCGCCCGTCGCGACCGCGGTTGTGCAATATTTTAGGCAAAGCCAACGCGTAAATAAAGCTTTGCTGGAACGCCCTACACAGACGTTTGCAGAGCGTCCCAACCGTTCATTGATAGCCCGCCGTGCACGGACGCACGTATGTACGCACCAAACAAGAAAGTTGCGCAAGCGCCCGACTTGGCCCGACGCCAAAGTATTTGCCAACGCGACCGCCGGCTTTCCCGCTTTCCCAGCATTGCTCTTGGTCGCTTCTTTGGTCCGCTCGCTCGCTCGTTGCGCCTGGTTGGTTTTTCTATTTTCTTGTAAACTTTTTTTTTTTTTTTTTTTTTACTAACTAAGAGAACATAGTGGTGGCATTCTTTCACGGAACAAACGTTCGCGCTATATGCAGATCGGCGGTGTTTCTAGCGCGTATGCAAGCAACGGACTTCGCTATAGTAAAATATTCTTTCGTGAGCATTTTTTTCTATAAAACAACGAAACTAAATCGAGTTTTGAGTTTGATGTATCTCTTGTGCATCAGCGCTAGATACGCAGAGAAAAATAGGCGGTTTTTTCCGCTTTTTTTAAAGTGTTTGTGCTCACCCACCGAGACATGGCCCACCCCACTTTTTTAATGAATTTCAGGCGGTAGGGGGGTGGGCGATGACTCGGGATATTACGGTAGTTTTATTTTTTCGTGGTTTTATTCAATTTTAGCGAGCGTCTGACAGTCATTAAAAAGCGTGTGCTGTGTCAACATAGTTTATTTGACATGTTACACAATGCTGCGCCTACCAGAAAAAAAATAATATAAGTAACGAGCTTGTTTTATTATCAGCACCTTACTCTAATATTTGCAGAACTCTCCATTGGCTTCACAAATAGCATTCGTGCGACGCGGAAGGAATTCATAAAGATTCACCACCAACTCTGGACATTGCCGCAGCCTGTCCCATTCTTCCTTCACAGCATCCCATAGCTGGTCAGTCGTGACGGAGTGAAGTCCTCGCCGCGATAGCTGGATCTTCATGTTTCCCCAGATGTTCTCGATGGGGTTCATGTCAGCCCCTTTTGGGGGCCATGGCATAACCGCCACTCCGCGTTCCTCTAGAAGGTCACGCACACGATTTGACTGATGAACAGGACAAAGGTCATGTTGAAAAAAAAAGCATCCGTCAGGGAAAGGTCCCTCAAGAACGTAAGGAATGAGCTCGTGCTCAATGACGTCGCAATACGTTTCGGAGTTAAGCCTCTGGATTCTTACAAGTGGACCAAGTCCTTCCGCTGACAATGCCCCCCAGACGTTAACGGTTTGTCGCCCACTCCTGCCCACACGCTGCAAGTAAGGGGCATCATACCTGAAACATCGAAATCACAAATTATAAGATCCGGCTTGTTAAAAATTGTCGTGTTGCTCAAAAGTAACATACCGTGCACCTCGCGGTCTCCAAACTTGTTTTCCTTGGTGCCAGTCAGTTGAGAAAGAGGACTCGTCGCTGAAAACAACGGTTTTCCAGTCTTGAATCGTCCATGATGTCTTTTCCATGGCAAACCGCAGGCGGATATCTTTTTGTCGAGGAGTTAAAATTGGCTTCTTGCACGCAGCATAGCTCCTAATACCCGCTTCTGCAAGACGGCGTCGCACAAGTTGGTCACTGACATTCAGACCAAGTTCGCCTCGAATGTCACGGGCCGTAATAAAAGGCTGGTCGACTGCAGCCGCGACGATCCATCGATCTTTTTCATTGGTAGTGGACCTTGGGCGGACGTCGTGAGGAGCGTCATGGATGCGGCCGTTGTCGTCTCGAAACGCCGTGAAAATTCGGGCCACTGCGGTTCGGGTCCTTCCTGTCATCCGGGCGACTTCTCGTTGGGGCATTCCCGCGCGGCATAGGGCCACAATTCGCCAGCGTTCGTGAATTGGCACTCGCGACGGCATCTTCACGAATGGATACTGATGGCAGTGAACCGACAATTTATAGAAAAATAAATGTGAAGTGAAATGGCACTGTGCTTTTTATTAAAAGAAAAAAATATTGCCCTTTTGTTCCTTTTCTTTCATATTTGAGACAAGATAAAAGTATGCACAGGGCAACCAAACAGATCGCGATAAAACCACGCGGCGATTAAATAATAAAAAAAGGCTATCACTCTGCAGAGATTACCCATCGGGGGTTGTGCACAGCGTGGGAACAGCCGATGAGCGCTCGTATCAGCTTTGCACACCTCCGACTCGCGTCACCAGGCAGCCCGTCTTTTATCGGTAGATGGCGCAGCAAGTTCTGGAGGCCACGCGTTCCGCTGGCCCATTTCGTTTCGTTGAGCACTGTACTTGTAATGTGCAGCATCAGCGTTTGCAATTTCTGTCGGCAAATACAATGTGGTTGCTACTTGAATACCTTCGGTGTGACGCTGCATTTCCGGAATTCTTCCGGACGCCTGTTGTTGGTCAGGTTACCTGTCCGATTACTTTAGAAGAAAGGGGAAAGGCAACTAGAGAGTTACATAATCGTTTGCCACAGAGATTTGTCACTACTAATCCGATTACTTGTGACGCGTTGCATCGGAGTCTGACGACGACTGTGCGTCTGTTTCCCAGCCCTGTCACGTCGTCTACACGGAATACCGGCCGGTCCCGCTTCAGCACTACATCTTCCCTGCGGGAGGCAGCGGACTTTACCTCGTCGTGGACGAAGGGGTGAGTGCGACCTCAAACGACGGGTGGAGTCGGTTTCCACTCGCGGGGGAGAACTTGACAAACTTTGGGTTTTCGTGATCCATCTTCAAGGGAAACTTCAAGGAGGAGAAATTCAACGAGGCCATGACGGTCCTCCAAAATGCCGGCGACGCGGCCAAGGGCGACTCTGCCATGAAAGGGCGCAAGGGCGGATTCAAAGGTAGGGGGTCGCTCCCTCGGAACTTGGGTCACACGTCCCGTTACTTTTGATGGTCCGAGTACAACGCCCGGAATGCGTCTTCGACTGGTGCGTTTGGCTCCCAAAGTGGTGAAAAACGAGGTCGCAGGAGGCCACCGTGTCATGTCGTCGGATGTTGCGATCCTGGCGGATGATTTATTCATTTAATTTGTTTCAAATACTTCCTGGGTCATGAGGATATTGCAGAAGGGAGTTGAATACAGCTCTATATATGAAACAAAACCACAAAATAATTCCTAGAATGTAAATAATTAGCTGTTAATAAAATAATCAAATAGTGAAAATGTTACAGCAGTTTTAAGGAGGGACACTGGCCAGAGATTTAACTTCTAGACTAATCAAGTGATCAGAACGAAATTTTCGGGGAGATTTAACATACTGTAAAATACCGGGGAAGCGCCCACTCAAAATTTAGAGATAATCGCGAAAAAATGGCGCTTGTCCGGTCATCAGTTTTACATATCAATGTACTGTGCATATTTTCTCAGATCTTTACGAATTCCGGTATGGGCGCTTAGTGTGGTATGGGCGGATGCGCAATATTCTACGGCAATATGTAGGTGTGATATCAAAATACTTTTACCTTCGAGCAAAAGATTCCTTTGTATGAAATTTGCCACAAAAAGTGGAACTGAGAAAAGCTTATTTGAACATTGAACTCCATTTCTTTGTTACTGCCTCACAATGTGTTCAAAATATTTTATATCAATGTAACTATTTGGCGTATGGTTATCAAATTTAGTGTAAGGGTGTATAATTAGTTTGTAAAACCAAGAAACTTAAATTTGAAAAATGAATTTCTTCAGAAAAATTTGAAATTTAAGCCCATGTCCACCCCTAAAGGTGGCGCCGTGAGACAAAGTCATCACAATTGCTGGAAGCTTGTTTCATGGAAGCGTCGGACGGAGTACAAATGAACTGTGAAAAGTTGTAGTTTTACTCGATGGTACGCCTGTCTCACGTTGGCGATCGAGGCGCTACGGTATGTAAAGGGAAGTATCGGTAGCTTTTCACGTAACGGAGGATTATGATGGATCTCGTCAGACAAACGCGAGCGAGACGGTTCTCTAGTGATGCAAGGTTAGGCAGGTTCGAACTGGATTTCATAAGTGTTACGCCAGCAGCGTGATGATAGTTAGTAAGTGTGAATCAAACAGATCTACGTTACATTGCTTTATCCACAGATGTTATTATGTCAGTACCGGGTTCCCAAATCCTGAAGTCCCAGCGGAAAGTATGAGCGAATGCAAGCATTGCGTCGTCATAAGATCCCGACTCTCGGCCGCTTTAGCTTCCGCGTACCGTCAAGCTGGATGGCAACCTGGGCAGAACTGGCGTCTGCCACTGCCGCCGTGATCCCGTCAGGATCGTGGCCGGAGACAATGTGACGCTCTTACCACATCGTCGGGTAGAAATCGAGGGACCACTGTTCAGGATGCGGGAAACATGACCAATCGGAGACGCGTTCCAGGTGCCATAGGTCGGAGGCACTTACACAAGTATCTCTCATTCTCGTTTTGGGGGTCGTAGGAGAGTCCAACTGCTACAAGATTGTCAAGATGATCATGGAACGCGACTACGCTCCCGTCATCGTCTTCAGCTTCAGCAAGAAGGAGTGCGAGGCCTACGCCACCCAGATGGCCAGGCTGGACCTGACAACCCGTGAGTTTCCGAGGGAGCTGGCCTCGAGGGTCTTCTCCTTTTGTTGGTGTCAAATCCAACGTAGCAAGGCCATGGGAGCGAGCGTCGACAGCTGAGCGCAGGCGCAGCCGTTGGTTTGACGTCCTGGCACGGAGGGCCACTGGTGTTGCGCGGAGTGGGGGCTGGGCAGTGCGCCAACACTACACCTTCTTCTCCGTATAGGAAATATGCATTATTGCATTCACACTTTCGTTGCATTTGATGGAAGGTCTTAAAAAGGTACTCTGGCGATTTTTTTTAGCTTTACAACTTACTATATTTTTCGGAATCACCGGCCTTTACTCTTTCTGGTATGCTATTTAGTACCGCGAAATTCAGAATAGTTGCTGTGTGATAGGTGAGTGAAAATGATGGTGAAACCAACGTTCGAATATACCCGCGCTTTTCAGTGCCGTAACGTTTGGGGGAGGGTAGGCTTGCAGGTCGAGTGGGCAGTCTATTATGTCGAGAATTTCTTTTGTGCTGCTACGCGAGTGCTGGAGCAAGCTTCCATTGCATTCATTTGACACAATGCAACTGATTGTAATCAGTTGGGAACAAAGTGCAGTCCAAAGAGAGAACCCCTGCCTTCCCCTTACGTCACTTTTTTTATTGTTGCCAGTAGAGACCCTCACTCTGAAAAACACAGTGAAAACCAAAGTTGTAAATTCAATAACTTGGAAAAAAAATGATGGCTCAATATTCGGGGTAATATCTCAGCGATGTTTGTTTGTGTGTTTAGCAAATTTACAGGCAAATTGGGGACTATGAGGAAAATGCCGGAGTTCCCTTTAAAGGTATGCGAACTAAAATCTGGATTTCACAAAACACGGCGGCAAAAGCTTGCAATAGGATGCTGCAAACACCAAAATGTCACTCATACAACAAGATCTCAAACGGATGACCGTATTTTTAAAAAAAAGGAGGCGCATTTGACAGATATGTTTACATCTTGTTTCTCCGAGAAGGAAAGGGAACGGCCTCGCGTCTTCCCCGCCTCGCCGCCTTGAGGGGGCGAAGTGAAGAGAGGAGGAAACGAGATATCTTGACGTCACACGCCTCGTCAGCCTCGTTCAATCTCGACCTCTTTTTCCAAAAATACGGCCGTCCGTTCGAGATATTGCCTTACGAGTAGTGTTGTAGGGATTGTAGCGTCCCGCCTAGAGCTCCTGGATTGTATCAAAATTCAAATTTCAGTTCACCACCCCTTTAAAGGGGCACTAAAGTGCTTTTAAGGTCCTTGTTTTATTGGCATAACTCAATCTACGAGCTGTAAGCATCCTGAGAGCAGAAGGACAGATGGCGCTACCGAACCTTGCTGAATATGGTCGAATGACAGGCAGCGCTTGTTAGCCACGTGGGTTCCCGTGTGGACAAGCGGCCGACCAGTCCCGCTCGTCCATGCAGGAACCCATCGCTTGCGAGTAGCTGATAAGCGCTGTCCTTCATTCGACCATATTCAGCAAGGTTCGGTAGTGCCATCTGTTGTTCTGCGCCAACGGTAAGTGTCGGAATTTTCAATTACTTTAACACGCAAATAAACCGATGGGTATAATTTTAATTTTGGGTTTTTTAAGGTGTTTAGAGCTTGTAGATTGAGTTATGACCATGAAACAAGGATTTAAAAAAGCACTTCAGTACCGGGACGTTTTTTTTTCTCTTTGCTGAAAATGTGTGAAAGGGTTCTGAGGTCTTAGACTGACGTGATCTTGTTTGTTGCTATTGCCAGATCACGAAAAGCAACTGGTGGACGAGGTCTTCCGAAACGCCATGGACTCCCTTTCCGAAGAAGACCAGAAATTGCCTCAGGTTAGGGCGGCGTGTCGTGACCCGTGTTTTCTGCAAGCGTGGCATTGTTTTTGGGCCAAGTGCGAACTACTATGTTAAAATTTTAGTCGCTGTCATATTGCCCCCCCCCCCCCCCCCCCAAGAAATGACTGTTTCTTTGTTAATTTCCTGGCATAACTTCCTGGCATAATGTTTACATTGAATTTACATATATAATGCCTTTCTAAATATACACAGTTAGCTGTTTACTAAAAAAAAAGGTTGGGCTTGTGTTCTCTCTAACTCCAGTAATTGAATACCAATATGTTGTACGGATGGATATGTGGACTAGATTTGGTAATGAGCAATAATCTCTCTAGCTGCCAGAAGACAGCACTAGAAAGATCTCAATATCTAGGCCACTGACATGATACTATGTAGCTTCGTATAAATCCCTGTTACAGTATGATGCAAAGAGGTACTAAAGGGCGGGCACCTTTCGATTCCTGTACACAGTAAGGTCAATTTGCCGGACTGCTGTACCTTTATAATAGTGTACTTCTTACTAGTTCCTTCAAGTGCCTGTGCAAACATAAACTCACCATAGGACTTCCTTACATTGATATTACAGTAAGTCTCTAATGCCTGTATGATAGTTTGAGGCATTAAGAAGTAAAATAATTAGGGTTGTGCGAATATTTTAAATTTCGAATAGTAGTTCCGAATAATACACTATTTGATATTCGCTTCGAGAAGGACTGCACTATTCGCGTTTTTCGAAGTGTTGATTATGGCGGGTTAGCCCCGTTGAGTGCGCTTCTTACCAAGCACCGGTGTGCTGCGGAGAAGCAAAACCCGCGGAAGTGAGCTCTGCTGTTGTTGCTTCTCCGCATTACATCGGTGCTCGCTAAGAAGCGCACTTAACAGGGTAACCCGCCGCGATAAACAATATCATATTTGCGTGCTCAAGAAAAGCATACATTCAAAGCGGGATGGTGCACCCGTGCTGACTGTATTTGAAAATAAATGGAAACTTTGTGAATGTATATATCTACATTGTAGTAAAAGTTTCAAAATTAAACTTTTATGGAAGAGTATACTATGTTAGGCAGAGATGCTTTTACAACTATTGCTCATCATGTCCGGCTCATTCTTCTTTATTTTGAGATTAAAGAAAAAATATTTTATATATCAAGATTTGTAAGTTCACTCAATTGGTATAGTTGGCCATCTATATAGGATTCATTTTATGTCAAATCCGTCGTTTACTTGCCATCCCAAGACACCAGACCTTCTGAGATCACAGTTAATAAATATAGACAGATTAAGCTTAGCTTATGAATGAAAAAGTGGAATAACCTTCACAGGTTTAGCTGGGTTTTCGTCTAAGCATTAAGGAATGGTAGTGTAAGGCGTGGAAAAACTATTCGGTATTTGAATCGAAAATATTTGGCCAAAACCACTATTCGCTTCGAATTCGCTTCAGACTCAAAATCCACTATTCGCAAAGACTAAAAATAATGATGCACTGGATTTATTTTAATGTGAAACATTCTTTGGCTAGGTGTTCAGCATTTCGTCAAGCTCAAAAGTGAAGCCTGGATAAAAGCATGACTGCGAGGCTCGACACTGATTGGTTGATGAGTGGGAGAGGAGGAGTGAGGTGCTTGGTGCTCATTGGTTAATGGGGAGGTCATGTGACCTGGGGTGGAGTGAGGAGAGGTAGGCGAGGAGGCAAGGTGGGAGTGGTGGAGTGGGTCAGAAGGTTCTGGAAGATCACCAGGTTTATCATTTCAAGTGCACACATGCTATGCGTTAATCATCTGATGAAGAGTGCCGTCAATGTAGGCATATGGCTGAGAGGCTAAACGTGCTGCTGAACGATATAAGCGTTCATGATGCTAGAACATTTCCCGTATGCAACACAATTGCCTAGCAATTTTTTTTTCTTTCTTGTAAATTGATTTTATGATCTGAAGGCTCTTCTACTTGGTGCAAACGAAACTCATTATTGACAGTGGAGCCTGCCAGAACATTTGTTGAGTCTCAGTTTAGAGCATGTTTCTCAGAGAGCTTACTTGAGCGCATAATGGGTGTTGCATCGCTTTGTGAAATGGATAAAATTCTGAACAGGTCGAACAAGTGCTCCCGTTGCTGAAGCGAGGCATTGCAGTCCATCACTCTGGCCTGCTTCCCATTCTCAAGGAGACCATAGAAATCTTGTTTGCTGAAGGACTCATCAAGGTGAGGTTCTCGGCAGTTTAGCCGGATTGGACGTTATCTCACCATGGGTGATGTTTCTGTTAGAATGTTCTGCTGGCCGGGTTCAAGTGTTACTTTATATATAATTTGTAAAGCGAGAGTAATTTGCTGTTATTATGTTAAGGAGAGATGCGGGTCGAAAAATTACTATCTTTTGTATAAAAGTTTGTTTTTGGATTTTTTGATGTATTATCATCTTTAGATCTTCATACTTTTAGTAAAAAAAAAATAAGTGCCAGTTATCCATAATGAGAAACCTTGAGACCAGGAATAGAAGACACAAAGACACACTTTCTCATTTCTGTGCTGGTTACGAAACGGTGTTGTCCTTGTAGTAGGTTAGCAGGGTGGCACCATACTGCGCCACCCTGCTACATCTTGCTACATTTTACCAGAATCTCAGGAATTTGCACCAACATTGAGCCAAAACTTAAATTTAACTTAGTAATACTGATAATATAATAGCTTAGGCCTCACAACTTGGCCAGATTGTTACTACAGGATTGTGCAAGTTTTCAGAACTTAAGATTATTGCATCAAATAACATACTAATCAATATGGTTTCGCATCAAACACTGACAAATTCTGAAGTTATGCAATAATTCTCATGTTCGTGTTCTGTTCTCGCGGGTGAGATAATTTCGTTGACTGCGCTTCTCACCACACACTGACATACTGCAGTGAAGCGACAACCACAGAGTAGGTATCGCAGTTTTGCATGTCTTGTTTCACCGCAGCGCACCTGTGTGCTAAGGGGAAGAACATTCCTCCAGAGCGAGACATGTCAATTTTTTAATAGAACTTCGGCTGGAACATATGATAGGCTGACTGCAATATTATGGCGGTATCTTTTTCCAGTTCTAGATTTAGCAAGGATACTTAATTTTGCGAAAATATTTATATAGACTCGTCTTTAGGTTTATGTTTTATGTTAATTTTTTTCTTTAGTTGTCACTTTTATATAGGTGTGAGTAAATGATAACTAAATTAGCAGAAGTAGTGGATGCACGCTTGGGAAGGGCCTCAATGTGTTGGGCGGGATTGCTTTTAAGCATTAATCGTTCCCAAGCCGATTTTTCTTATGAAGGTCTAGATATAAAATGTAATTGACATTTCATATTCAAATGACAAGAGATTTTTTTTTTTTTTTTTGAACTTGAAGGAAACAATTTTAGGTCCTGAAACTGATTTTATTCTAGCATTATTTCACTGGGATTCCGTACCGGGAATAACCATTCACGGGAGTTTGTGCTCTCCTTAATCGGTCATCTTGCTATTATGTCTGGTGCCTCTACATGCAAGTAAACAGCTAGTTTTGTGTTTGAGGGAATCGACATTCCTGCGTAATCAATGATAACAGAAGGTTGCACATAATTGAGAAGGCAAAGTAGACACTGCCTAGTTGGACGGGTCAACACATGAATCTTAACGTAATATTTGCAGTGATTATGCACGAAAATGAAGTGTGCATTTATGCTCCAAAAGTTCTTTTTGCTGCTCCAAAATTGACTTTTGGCTGCTCCGAGCGCTGCTCCAAAACGACTGAAACCGATCACATCACTGAAATTGTGACGTCGCCGCCATCACGTTTACTTGGGAAAGTAGGCCTAGCCGTCTCTCTTTATCGCAGTCTTCTGTGGCTTTAATTCCTCACAGAAAATTATTTAAAAAATATTCTCTTTTTCGCCTCGAAAGAGTATCGCCACATATCTATGGTAACATTTGAATGCGTTTTTCTCCATGTGCTTTGGGCCATCTTCCCAGTTTGCACACCAAAAGTTTTTGTTTTAATATTCTCCTATCACAACCAAATTTTGCCTGCATATATACTTTAAAATATTAAAATTGCAACTATCTAGGTTTGGTTAGAATGTATCTTTGTTTATATGTATAAAAATTTAAGAAACATTTGTTAGTCCTTTGAAAATGGCATTATAGCTATTTTTAATTATTTTAAAATAAAAGACGTGCACACATTACTTTTTTTTTTTTTGTTCATTGCACTCTGTGGTTTAAAAGCAGCGAACTAGTTTATTTTACTAGGCTCTTTTAAGCTGTTTGCCATGCCGCACGTGTGCGTAAGAAGGTGTTTTTTCTGCACGTGTGTTGCATCTAGAACATAAAAAAAAGCTTATATCAAATCTAACTTCAGATTTTTGAAGAGGAAATCAAGCACTATAAATTTATTTAGTTACCGTAAATATAAAAAAAATATTTTCCCCTGGCGCACGTCCGTACATAGGTGGCACCATAGTTTGTGAAATGCTTGCTTCTTTACAGGTGACCAATCTTTGCTGCTACTTACTTCGGAATTTGTACCAGTTGAGGCTCTACATCCAAAGATAACTTTCTGAGGCAGCGTTGGCGAAGCAGTGCACATGCATTTTTTCCCCTTTTCTTTGGATTGCCACAGAAAGTTGCCCCCGAGTATATTGCTCCATCACTCTGCGCGTATCTGTAGTTTTTTTTTCTACGGAATCGGACTCGTGTTTTTGCACCGAGGTCTACGCTTGATGTCGTCAGCAGTGCAGTGTGCCTAGCATCTTGTAAGGTGTGTAAAGTATCTAACATTTTTTTTTCTTTGATCACAATTATATTGTTGGGTGTACGGAAAGTTTATACGTATTTCCACGTGTTCCTTTTGCAGGCCCTGTTTGCCACGGAAACATTTGCCATGGGGCTGAACATGCCTGCACGAACCGTGTTGTTCACAAACGCACGCAAATTCGACGGGAAGGACTTTCGATGGGTAAGGATGCCGTTGCTGTGTTGTAAGCATACCTTCGGAGCTCCTTTGGGGCATCCTTGACCTATGTCACTGTCTGACAGTGGTCAAACAAGTGGCTTTTGCCATCTTTGGGAATATTGGCAGTCAGTGTTTGGCCAGGGGCTTCTCAGAACTTTGGCTTTCATGTCACCTCTGAGGAGCCTGACAACCTTCTTAACACTAAGGTTTCATCTAAGAGCTTGGTCTGTTCAAAGTTGTAATTCACACTTGCACACCTGGCAGTGACTAAGCAAGTCAACAAAGTACAAAATAAATTAACTTTTGCTGAACCTTCGATTAGTGTAATAGATGTGAATATGACCCAAACAGATTACTGTAAACAATTTAGCTTTTGATGATAAGTTTATGTATCTCCTGAATGGACATTACAGAGCCACGGAAGTTGCATCTACTCTTGGATTTCCTTCAGCCGCCATTACACTTGTGAAATGAAGTTTGTGTACATAAGTACTGAGCTTCTTTTAGCTTGGTAGAGTCTGATCCATAGGTTCCCTAGCTCATTTAGTAGATACCCAGAGATCACCCAAAGTACCTTCTTTGGTTCGTACACCCCTTGTTTCCTCAACCACCCAAATTCTTACAAATGGCACCTACTTCCAAGCAGAGGTTATTCTGATTTCAACATGATTTAAGCATGGTTTAACCTTACACTGATGCATGACTATGACCTGCGTGCTTAAATATTTCTCTCTAGTAGTATAGTACTCTATAGTTTGCAAAATTCTTTAAGCTCTTCAACCCGTTTTAGTACAATAATGTCATAAAAGAAGGGGGGAGGGGGGCTCCTTGGTTGTCACTCAAAATGAACAGAAGAGCCTGCTGACATAGTTTCATTAAAGTGAATCCAGCTTTGCTTTTGTTTGCCTACTCTGAACCTAAGTACTATCAGGTTGAAATGAAAGGCAATCACCGGAGCGCGTGCCGCTCCGTACATCCTGCGCCGCCTGTCAGCGATCGGGGGAACCCTGGGCGCATGCGCTGTTCAAGTTGAAGCTGCGAGGCTGCGTGTCCTACTGTTAGGTGCTCAGCTCCCGACTGGCGCACCTGTGCTTCTCCGCGGCGCCGCTGAGGGTGCTCTAAGCCGTCGCCGCTGGGGTTCAAGCTCCTGGCTGCCATCGCCGCAAGCTCGCCGACGGCTTAGAGCACCCTCAGCGGCACCGCGGAGAAGCACAGGTGCACCAGCCGGGAGCTGAGCACCTAACAGTAGGACACGCAGCCTCGCACCTTCAACTTGAACAGCGCATGCGCCCAGGGTTCCCCCGATCGCTGACAGGCGGCGCAGGATGTACGGAGCGGCACGCGCTCCGGTGATCGCCTTTTCTTTCAACCTGATAGTACACACCTACCAGCTGTTTCCTTCTAGCATGGTTCTTCTCATGATAAAACTTATACCAGCTCAAACGTGCTCACAAAGACGGGTAAGCACACTTCTAAGGAAGAAGAGCAATGCGTAGCTTGTGGGCCGCTCCTTCCCTCGTGCGCTGCGCCAGGGGCTTCGCTTTTGAGTGATCCTTCCCTGGATAGCTAAGTCGACAAAGCGCCCAGCTCACATTCTCGAGGAGGCGAGTTCAAATCCTGCCAAGGGACTGACGTCTTTTTACACGACCTACGGTACTACGGGCATAACGCCTTTTGGCGTCGTCACAGCCGGCCGTTGCAGCCAAACGTTGCAGAGCTCCTCGAAAATCGGCCAACGAAACGCGTTCTGCGCTAAAACGAGTGCCCCGTTTCTCTTGTCGTCGGCAGGTGACCTCTGGAGAGTACATTCAGATGAGCGGTCGGGCCGGCAGGCGCGGCCTGGACGACCGCGGCATTGTCATCCTCATGATCGATGAGAAGATGAGCCCTGCTGCAGGGAAGGACATCGTCAAGGCAAGTTTAGAGCCGTGCCTTAAGGGAGCAGAACTTAAGATGTCTTGATATCAGTGGTGTCGTTGTTGGCATCACCAAGTGTGAAGCATGCATTTCAAGAGCCCTACACCGAATACCCAACAGATCAAACCTACTTTAAAAAGACCTCGAGAATGAGTTTTACATGCCTGGACATTGTAATGTGGCACAAAGTTGCGTCTGGGTGGCATATTCATTGTTTTAGTTTGTTTTTTTTTTTGTAAATGTCAACGAGCAAACTTTGCTTGATCAGAGTTACAACTAAGGAGCAAAACTTTCAAGTTGGTTAGTAATATGCAGATTGTCTTTTTAGACTAAAAATGTGAAAAAGCATTCCTGCGGGCCATTGGAGCATTTTATTGGGCAACACTGGAAACGAGAGCAAAGCTAGAATTATTTTTTCCCCCTTTTTGTTGTTTCTGTCAAATCAAACACCCTTAACAATGTTTTTTTGTGTTGTTTTTTTCACAGAAGAAAAGGTTGAAGTGCATACTGAATCATAAAATACATTTGTTTCTTAGTTGTAACTTTTGACTGTACACGTTTGCAAGTCCGGTCTCAGAGCGCCGCCATCTTCCTCAGTGGGGTGCGCTCTTGGGCACGGCCATAATCCGATTACGACGCCTTAGCAAGGCTTCGTAATTGGATTACAGCGCGTCCAAGCGCACCCCAGCCAAGCAAGATGGCAGCGCCTTGAAGCCAGACTTGCAAACATGTATAGGGAAGCTATGGAGGTTGTTGAAAAAAATGAGTTAGAAAGGAATTCTAGTGTATTTGTACCCCGTGAACCCGAATGCCCAAATCATTTGCTGCACATGTATTGGTAAACGCGAAAGACGGTCATTGTACGTGACGTCACCGACGAATCTTTTGGCTGCCCAAGTCTAGGAAGGTGGGGCTTCAGCACTATTTTGAAATTGCTCTTAGGGCTCTTCGGCGCGTTGCATTGAAACATAATTGTGATATATGTTATTCTAAAGGCCAAATGAACGCAATTCAAGTGTTTTATTCAGAAATGCAGAAGTGCCTCATCTTCCCTTTAAATCAAGTCTTCATCCCCCCCCCCCAAGAAAATGCACCACCAAGTTGCATTTTTGTGCTAAATTACAGTGGCAGACCTTGTGAAATTGGTTTTCGAGATTTATTTCGAGGGATTTCGATCCATTGGTTCCCTTGCTGTTCAAACCGTTTCCGTCGGGCACGCGCCGACTATCCGGCGGTCCACCCTTGCACGCAGGGCCTCCCCGACCCCATCAACAGCGCGTTCCACCTGACGTACAACATGGTGCTGAACCTGATGCGCGTGGAGGAGGTGAACCCGGAGTACATCCTGGAGCGCTCCTTCTTCCAGTTCCAGAACAACTCCTCCATCCCCGTGCTGTACAAGAGTGAGTGGCACCCTCGTCCCTCTTACTGACTCCCTTTGAAACCACCAGGGGTTTTTGCCGAAGGATCTTGCTCGAGTTTATTCGCAGTGACTTCGAAAATGTCCCTTCGTCTTCGTTTGACCTCGGTCTCGTGTCATAGATGGTGGATCTGTATGAATGTTACGTGCATAGACATTGACACCTCCCAAAAAAAGAAATCAAAATTTTGGGGGGGGGGGGGGGGTACCTTTTTTGTTTATTATTTCTAGGGCCTCCACCAGAATTTCGCTTACCTCGGCTTTTCTTGATGACGCCGTTATTGTGAGATTAAGATGATGTCATACATTTAAAAATAATGTTATCGTAAGACTGGATGCTGCACGCTTTGCGCTGCACGCTCTAGCGAGGCTACATCCTTTACTTGGGCAGGAAAGCGAAAGAGCTGGCCCCCATAAGTGCTATGCATTTTTGGTCGTGCTGGCAAGGACTGGTCAGAACAGAATGTGTGATGGGATTTCCAAGGAAGGAGGGAAAGGTGGCTGAAGGGCACCTCCTACTGAAGATTCAGTCTCATTTCTGACACACGCCGTGAGGTGGCGCAGCGTGGCAGGAAAGGCCGTGAAGCGCGCAAGTCTTCGTGTGCCGAACCGATTGGTTTGCTTTTGCGTGCTCCGACTGCCGACCCTGGATAGCTCAGTGGGCAAAGCACTTGACTCGCAATCTTGGGGTGGCGAGTTCAAATCCCTCCAGGAAACTGAAGTCTGCTTATATGGTTCCCTATGAGTGTAATGCTTTGCGGAAGTTTTATCAAACAGATGAAGTCCCTATACAATACTATGAATTGAGAAAGGCAAAGTGAAAAACACTGAAGGTAAAAAGAAATTACGGAAAACAAAAATTTAATTATCATGTTCCTTCACTGCTAAATATTTTTTAACGAACATGCTGACTTTTCTCAGTCATTTCATAAATATAAGAATGAAAAGAAAAAAAACACACAATTTCACAACGAAATAGGTTTTGGGAAGCAAACTTTTTTGAACTTTTGCAATGTCAAAGATTTTTACACTAAACATATGCGAAATGCTGTAAACCTACATCAAGATTATAATTTTCTGTTCTTTTTTTTTTTTTTCATTTTTCTGTGTCAGCTTTTCTGAACAGATTTTTTTGTGCCTCATAATGAGGCCAGCGTTGTTTTTTTGCGTCCCTATGATGAGTCAAGTTTAAGAAATTATTTCTTGAACACCACATTATTTTCAATGATTGTGGAATTAATATTTTGTCTCCCATGTTGTATAAGGATGTAAAAATGCGACAATAACTTTTTGTTAAGCATATTTTATCAATTTTTCTTTTAGACGAGCCTGTGTATATTACGCATGATTATGCCATGTGGTCTTGTTTTGTTTCTCCTCTGTGTGTGTATTTTTTTATATGATTGTCTACTTGCTCTATACTAGGGGAGGGTAGAGGCCTAAGCACGCAGAAATGCCTTTTGTTTCTACCTCCCTACCGGGCCTGACCCGTAAAAATTTAATTTTACAATAAAAAGAAAAAGAGAACTTTATGAAAGTCGGCTGATAAAGCACATTCTCCGTTACAAGAGCAGCAAAGGCTCATTTCAGACTGACCGTGTCGCACTCTGCACCCATTCTTTGCAACGATCAGAGCTGCAGGACCTGCAGACGAAGCTGGACGCCTTCAGGATCCCCAACGAGTCGGAGGTGGCGGCCTACTACAAGATCCGGCAGCAGTTGGCGTCGCTCTCCAAAGAGCTGCAGGCCTTCCTTTCCAAACCCCAGTACTGCGTGCCCTACCTTCAGGCTGGCCGGATGATCCACGTGAGTCGAGGTCGCCGCCATGCTCCGTTTCACCCTGCGGCGGGCTGCAGCCGACTCCGCGAGTCATGCTAGCCAATCCGGCGGTGTTGCGAGCGTATCGCACGCCTCCACGCCACAGTTCACTGTAAGGTGATGCAGCACTGTGGGAACCACGTGCGGCACTGCGAAAGCCCCGGGCAGGAAAGGGAAGACCGTTCGACCAAGCGTGATGTTGGTGCTTCGTCATATTTTGCTCCGAAAGGGCATCGGAGGGCATCACAGCTCGCCCCTTAGGTAAACTGTAGTAATGTTTGTAGATAGGTGAGTCGGTACGGTACACAGCACTGTGTCTGTGTATTCCTTCTACCTGTCCCCGTGTCCTTTTTGCGTCGTTTTGTGTGTCTCACTTAGGTGAGGGCCTTGAGCGAGCGCTTTGCACCACGGTGCGTAGTAGTATTATTGACGACGCACTTCAGGCTCTAAAAGGATACAGAAAAAAGTCGACTACCGCTTATTCATAACGGTGTCACGCCACATATGTCACAAATGCGACATTCGGGGCTTGCTGCGGAGGGCCATTTGGGAATCGGCGGCCAAGCGTGTTGGCGCGTCACAGATCGAAGCAGGCGGAGCGAAAGCTCGCACTGCAGAACCCAGGAATCCTGGGTTCAATCTTCACCCCTGCCCATCTCAATCTAGATGAGCATTGTACCAGTGGGGGTTGTGCATCACTACTATGTGGTGCACGTTATAGACCCCAGGCTAGCGGTGGTACTGCACTCGCTACATTTCTTGTCTACAGTGTAAACCAGTGTCGCCGCGCCTCAAAGGCTGACCGACAGCTGCCTAAACGCGGACACCGGATTTGTTTTAATTTCTTTTCTTTTTCCTTGTGGAGATTCATTAATTTTGACATAGTTACCCGTGGCTACTGGGAGAGGGGGAATCCCTTCTCTCCAACTACAATTGCTGCATTGTCTTCAGAATGCCACATATTTTTTTCATGTGGCACTCGAGTATTTTGCGAATGACTTGCATGTTCCTGGCATTGCATTTTGCACGGCTGTTTCGAGCCTCCAGGGTACGCTCAACAGGTCGGCAGTAAACCGAGCGATTGCGCGGTATAATATATTGAACTCCCTTTCCCCGTCCATGCAGATAAAGAACGACACGCACGACTTTGGCTGGGGTATCGTCATCTCGTACACCAAGAAGAAAATTGTCGCAGTGAGGGTAAGTTGTGCACCTGCCCGTCTTTTGGGCCGCGGGTGGAAGTTTTACACGTTTGTAAGGCAGAACGGTTTTACGGGCTGGTTTCAAACTCTAGAACATCACGAAAAGTTGTTTTGAAAACATAATACATGATCATGGGATGTTACGGTGTCTTATCGTGATGCCTTCTGATGTCCCTTCACACGTCGGTGTCAGTGACCTGATGTCGCGTGATGTGGTCACGTGGTTGGTGTCACGGGACCTCATAGCACCGCTGACGTCGCATGATCATCGTCACGTGACATACGACTGCCACGCGGTTCATCTCACTGTGGGTCATGCGACTCAGACAAGTCCCTCAGTCTGCATTCTCCGTAATTCTGACCTTATAAGTAGGATCTAAGCGATTATAATTATTTTCTAATACAGTCGAACCTCGATATAACGAACTTCAATGTAACGAAATCCTCGATTTAACGAAGTATTTTATTTTTCATAATTTCTTGCCCATAGACCCCATGTATTTTTAGTCCCTATATAACGAAGTCTAATTTGCTGCTATTTCAATATAACGAAGCGCCATTGCCATAGAAGGCAATAAATAAATCAACTCTAAAAAACAACTTCGCAAAAAAATTGTGGTTAAAAAAAAAAAAATTATTCGCAAACGCGAGCGCTTGATAGGTTACTTCACGGGGACAGGCCTTCCAACGTTCCTAGGCTGCCCGAGGATGCGGCGCCGGTAGCGCCGGCGAGGCATGCGGCAAAGCGGATTCCGCGAGGCTGGCCAGAAAATGCCGAGCAAAAAGTTAACACGGCATAACAGCATCACCACTGACATTCACTGATCATCATAGTGCACTGTACCGCGGGTAGCGCGGGAGCCAACTTCAGCGGAGGAGCGACGTGATCGCGCGACCGCACGGGCAGTGCCATCTAGGAGAAGACCGAAAAGACCGATTATCGTCTTGCGAGCGTGATGTAAAGCAAAGACGCAAGCACACTGTGCGCGCAAGGGGGCAAGTAAACTGTGCGGTCAAGAGTGCTGTGTAGGTTGGAAACATTGGCACCGCCTAAACTAAACAGCTTTATTTTTCAACTCGGCGGTTCACTTACGTGCTTGCTGCCATAGGGAAAGTTCTTTCTTTGGATGAGAAAGCAAACGTTTTGGACGCCATCCTGAAGAAACTGCCGAGATCACGAGCACTCGGGAAGTGCTCGACGCAATGGACGTACAGTCGCCGACCGATTTTTCGGACTCCGATTTTTCGGACTTGTTCGATATTTCGGACCTAAAGGCGGAACCATGACTTACCCCATAGAAATAGTGCTTATTTACGACCAATGTTTCGGACAGCTTGAAGTCCGAAAGTTCGATTATTCGGACAAAATCGGACAAAATCGGCGCGAGCGATCAGCGGAAAACATCATCGAGAAGCGGCCATTTTGAATTTTGTGTTGGCTGCAAATGGATTGGCTTGGTTTGGCAGCGCTACTTGAGTACTCCTGAGTCCTACCGCTAGGTGACACTATGCTAGCCCTTTTTTTCCATTTAGCTGCACGTCATCATCATCATCATTATTATCATTTTGCTTTGCTTTTCCGTTGCTTCGCGTCGCCAATCGCCATTTTGCGCTCGTGGATTTGCGCTTCTTAACTTGTTTGGTCAGCGCTGGCTTGGACGTCATGGCCCGATCTGTTGTTCTGCCGCCGCGATGTGTCGTTAAAAAGCGCAGAAAGTACTCGACCATAACGCTAGAAAAGAAGGCAGCGATTGTCAAGCTAACAGAAAGTTGCCGAACGCAAACGGAGGTGTAACTGAGACAAGGCACTGTTTACGGCTTTTTAAAGCCCATTTGGAAGTAATAAAGGCAAGTTTTTTAATGTGCTGATTTTTCGGACTGCTCTATTATTCGGACGTTTTTTCGGTCCCTGCGAAGTCCGATAAATCGGTCGGCGACTGTACTGAGGAGGTATGTACACGGCGTCGCATGGGCAGCAGGATGCCGTGCAAGCGCTCTGGGCGCTCGAACGCCGTATGACGCCGCTGCTACTGTCGGACAAGGCGCAAGCAAAACTCGCGGACTACTTCGCCCCTAAATAAATGTCATTTTCGGTGAGTGTTCATACCCGTAAAATGTTTCGGAATTTTTTTTTGCATGCTAAAGCCAAATTTCGATTTAGCGAAATTTCAATGTAACGAAGTAAATTGCGAATTTTACCGACTTCGTTACATCGAGGTTCAACTGTAGCACATTTCATTGTGTCCTCAAAGGGGAAGGGGGGGGGGGGGGGGGGGGGGGGTGGAGGAGGAGGCTGACAGAATTTCAAAACTTAAGAAAGACAAGAAAAGTAAGCACAAATCATGCAAGCTTGGGAAGGAAAGACAAAGGAAAAGGAGGATTAAAAATGAGGGAACCAGAAACGGGCGCCTACGTTGTGAGCATCCACTCTTTTTCGGGCGAGTTTGTTGCCACCATTTCAGTAGTGCTGCACAAGCCGTCAGTTGTACGGAAAACACATTTGTACCTGACATTCACCGTAGTAGTTACAAAAAACAGTTCATGAAACAAGCTGATAAAATTATTCACTGAAACTTGCTAATGATTTGGGTTGTCAGATTGTTTGAAAGGAAGTGTTTCGGTAAAACCTTTAGGTGTCATAATTTGACCTCCGAGGATCGACGGCCAGGTCTGTTAGCACACCGCTGCTCAAGCACGTTCCCCCTCCCCCTGCCCGTTTCGATCTGGATGAGCATCGTACCGGCGTGCATTCGTGTGATGCACGCCGGTGCATGATGCTCGTTAAAGACCGCAGGATAACACTGGTTAAACTTCTCATCTATTGTGTAGACACCAGACGCCTATTGGGGCCGTCTAACTTCTCGCTGTCTAAACATACACACAACACAGTCGCTTTTCAATCTGATCTAAAGCTGGTGCTGAATGCTAGCCCATGTCGGTCCACATTCCATCTACGCAGGGAGAGCAGTCTGCAAGAGAGCCCTCAGTCATTGTGGAAGTGCTGATGCTGGTCTCCAGGGACAGTGCCCAGACCAAGGTCACCTCCAAGGTCCTTCCTCCTCCCCCGGGGGAGAAAGGGGAGATGCAGGTATACAACATCCCTTGCCCTCAGACTCAATCATTCGCATCTCTGGACTCGCCCCCGCCATGCATTGACCACAACTTGATAAGCAATACATCCTTCCCTCTTGAAACGACCCTATAATGTCTTCAAAAGAAATTTAAACGGTCATGCAGCCCTTAGATACTGCATTCCACGTATCGTAGAACTTTGGAGATAACAGTCGCCACTAAGTTGGTTTTTTTTTTTTTTTTTTTTTTTTTTGCCTGCGCATGTGTTTGTGCAGAGCGCGTAATGTTTTACATGGTGGCGTGTTGCCTCCTTCCAGGTTGTGCCCATGCCCATTGACAACATCAACCAGATCAGCAGCGTGCGACTTTACTACAACCAGGACCTGAAGTCGCCCGACAACCGTAATGCCGTGCTCAAGTCACTCCAGGCAAGGAGGGTTGGCGAAATGACTGTGCCAACATTTCAAACTCCCCGAAACCTTCTTTTTTCTTTTGTTTTTGTCTAGTATGCTTTACCATGTGAAGTGGACTAACGAAAGTAGTTTCTACGGCTCAACAGTAGATTTTCCGCAACAGACAAAAATATGCTAGAATTCAGTTTTAATTGCCTTTTTTCTTCTTTTCAAGGTTTTTTTTTAGGAGACTGTACTGCAGTTTATCGGAAGAATTGTAGCTCCAACGAACATTTGATTCTCATGTCTTTTCAGTCCACAGATGCTCCCGCAGAATCGAGGTGTCGGAAGTGGTAGGAATAAACACTTTTTGGTTCTGTCTTTTCCTTGCTGCCACCAGGAGGTCTACGAACGCTTCCCCAAGGGCGTCCCTCTCGTCGACCCTTTCGAGGACCTGGGCATCAAGGACAGCGGCATGAAGGAAGTGGTCAAGGTACCGGCCTTCCCACTTCGTCTCGGTGTGCGCAGTGACCATGATCATAGGCTGGGCATTTTCGTGCGACAATAATCCATAGTATTGTCACGGTTGCCGACAAAGTAAGGGCGACGGGGCGTTTCTTCCGTGCATTATGCATTTCAGGAGTGTCACGCGAGCACTTGGAACGCTCATCTTCGGCAGCACGCAATGGTCAGCTCATGACAACAAAGTGGATGGAGTTGTGTCGGTGCAAAGGGCCTATTCTCTTTCGGGGAAAGGTTTCATCCGTTAGAACCGCGGTGTGTGCACTCAAGTTTCTTTCTTTAAATTCTGCGAAGCATTTTTTTTTTTTTTCTTGCTGCCCTTTTTGCACTTCCCCACAGTGATGCACTGTCGAGATTTTTTTTTGTCGCCGACAGCATTTTGCGTCGCGGTCTCGTGCCCCTGTCTTGAGCAGTGCCGTGCACCTCTGTCGAGTGCGGGCCGTCGGCTTTTTGTTCATATTTTTCACGCCCACTGCTCATGCTCGGGTCGTCCGTAAGGTGACCCTGCCAAAAACTTGGGCATAGGCATGAAAAGTGTAGTGTCCTTGTCTTTGCACCAAGCTGCTTGTCAATCTTGGTAATTTAACACAATCAGTCATATGCTGGCTTGTTTCTGACCACCAGAAGTAAGTGGAGAATGTCCTTTTTTTATCTATGTAAACTGGAGAGTTTGCTGCGAATTGGAAGAAATGACTTTGTAAGTGACAGGTTTGTTGGTGGCCTTTTTTTGGTAGAGTTTGAATCGACAAGGTCCAGTATCCAGATGTATGAACTTGGCCCGTTGTTCCAGAACAGTATTTTTTGCTACCTCCACTTGCAACAAATTTTGCCGTGATGCAGGTGTTGACCTTTCCTAAAGTATGCTTCCCTCTCTTTCCTCTCTGTGGCTAATCAACTTGACAAAATATTTCACATTTTACCGATATCTTGGTGCCATACATTGCACGAGATTGTTAGCACATACACGACATCAGCAATTTTTCACCATTTCTTTTTTAAAAGGGTATTGTCGGGCATCAAGTTTAACCGCTTAGGTTAGTGCTCCAGATGAGCACTTTGCAGCAGACTAGTTTCAATGACATCCCTTTGATTCTAGAAGAAAAAAAAAATGGTGATCGCTTGTTCATGCTAACACTGTCACAGTGTATATGGTGGTTGAGCTGGACACGGATCTATGCACACTAAAGGAAATCTCGACTGTCTTTCACTCTGTGCAATGCTAAGGTGACAGTGGTTTGCTAAGCAATTTATAGGAGTGGCAGTACTGTGTGTAATAATGTGCTGGCTTGTAATTTATGTTCTTGACTTTGTTTGTTTGGTTTAGGCGTCTTCCTCCAATGGTTCTTTGTTGGTTTCTTTAGATGCACAGTGGTTGTTTTTCTGCAGAAAATCGAGGCCTTCGAGAGCCGGATGTACGCCCACCCTCTCCACTCGAGTCCGGAACTCAAGCGGCTCTACTCGCACTATGAAGAAAAGATGATGGTGAGCTGTTCTCAACATTGGCTAGCCAGGGGGGAAGCTTATAAAGCTTCAGCCCCCCCCCCCCCCCCCCCCCCCCCTCCCACCCACCGCCATTACCACCCCAAAATCCAGCAGACCCTAAAACATACACATGCATCTTGACCCCCCTTCCCCCCCCTCCACACCCCAGGTCATGAACATCCCAGCCACCTCAACCACCTCCCCCCTCCAAAAAAAAGAAAAAATTCCTGGCTACGCTACTGGTTGTCAAGTGCAGCCAAGAAAACTTTTCCAAAACGTCCTTGTTATAGCGGGAGTATTTTATAAATGCAGGCATTTGTGCGTGACAGGCCTTGCTCAAAGCTCGAAGTTTGTTGCTTCCTTCATACATGTTTGTTATAACAGAAGTTTTGGTATAACAGAAGTTTGGTATAACAGAAATTTGGTATAACAGGAGTTTGTTATAACAAAAGTCTGGTATAACATAAGTTTATTACAACAGAAGTTTGCTATAGCAGGCATTTGTTATAACAGAAGTTTGTTATGACAGGAGTTTGTCATAATGTAAATTTGTTACAAAAGGTTGTTGTAAATGGGCTGTTCTGTAGAGAAAATCTTCCCCAACTCTGGTGCAGACTTGAACTGTTAAGACTTTGGAAGGTATCCAAGATACAGAGGTGTTCACAATTGGATATGTAGCATTCCGGTGCTTTGCAAACCTTTTCTATTTCGGGAGATGTCCGACTTGAAATAGTATAGCTGTGTACTACTGGCTTAAAGAAACAAAATTCAGATATCGACCATTTTAAATGGTGATCACATCTGGAGCTTTTATAAACTTTTTACACAAATATGTTCTGTGACATGCTTTGGGGAAATAAAATCATATCTTTTTTTATATAGGTAAGTTTTTGTTTTTTGCTATATAGCTGACTCTGCTTACCTTTAATCAGATTTGCTGAGGCTGATTGTCAATTAAATATTGTTATCCAATTAGTCGCCATCATTTAAGCAACTGATAAATTTATTGTTCGAGTTCACTTACTGAAACATATAATACCAGCAAAAAGCTATGCAATTCGTTTTCGGCTACTTTTTGTTGAGGCATAGATAGAATTGTGCAGTCTAACTGCCTCATCTAATTCTCCGCAATGCCCACAAAATTCTAACAAGGAAAATGTTTTTTACGAAATTATTTAAGCCTTAGAAATCATTCTGGATGGCAGCTGCATCAAATGCTGAAGTGGTTTGCTGTAAAAGACAATGCTCCCTCTATAAATAAAGAAATGTGCAAGAAATAATAAAGGCATTTTTGCTCTTTCTTCTCGACCTTCCTACCTCGGGGAAACAGCCAGGCACCTTGTTAAAAATGAATGGATTGCAGTCTAGGTTGATGGAAGGGTTAATCAGTTTTCCAGTGTTAGGATTTCCAAGTCACCACCCTGCATTTGTTTGAGCCTCTAGGTGATGTATTGCATATCGAGTACCAGCTTTTCTTGAGCATGAACGGGCTTGAACTAAGTCTGCTCCGTGTGCTGCGTGCAGGTGGTGAAGGAGATGAAGGAGGTAAAGATGGAGCTGAAGAAGGCCAAGTCTCTTCTTCAAATGGACGAGCTCAAGTGCAGGAAGCGAGTGCTGCGCCGGCTCGGCTACTGCACTGCCGCAGACGTCATGGAGATCAAGGGGAAAGTGGCTTGCGAGATCAGCAGGTATGCCGTCCCTGAATGTTGGATCGGCGACTTCCTACTTTTGAATTTGAAATACAGGTGCTAATTTTGGAAGATTAGAACGTTGGAGGCTAGGTTATGGTGCCGGTATGAGGGTATGTTAACACGTTGCAGCTTGGCAGCATGTGGAGTAGAAGCTTGCGCGGTGGACACGGACATTGTGACATTGATTCATATCAAAACTTGCGCTTACTCATAGAAACTCATACTCACTCATGCAGAAACTGTGCTCACTCGTACACTAGAAACATGTGCTCACTCGTATGCAAACTCGAGCTCACTCATATACAAACTCATACTCACACATAAAAAGCCATATTCACTCATGTAAGAGTCTTGAATCATTCGTATAGAAACTCGTACTCGCTCGTAGGAAGTCATAATCACTCATAGAAACTCATGCTCATTCATATACAAACTTGACCTCACTCATGTAAAAGCTGATAGGAAAGCCATACTGATATGGAAACTTGTGCTCATTCATGTACTTGAAACTTGTGCATAAATAGAAACTCATACTCATGCGTGTAGGAACTCATACTCGCTTATATAGAAACCCATGCTCATTCACATCAAAACTTCTGCTCGTTCCTACCAAGACTCACGATAGATCCTGTCGGAACTCATGGTGGCTTCAACGTAAACAAGCATGCTGGGGCATGTGTGTTTGCGTGTGCTGAGGTTTTCTCGCATCGCCCAGTGCCGACGAGCTGCTGGTGACGGAGATGATCTTCAACAACATGTTCAACGACCTGGACGTGCACCAGGCGACGGCACTCCTCGGCTGCCTCGTCTTCCAGGAGAAGTCCAACGAGATGCCAAACCTGACCGAGGAGCTCTCCGGTCCACTCCGACAGATGCAGGTAACTATGCATTGTTCCTTTTTTACGTGAAATGTTCTTTCATTAGTAGCTCCATATTTCACGAAGCCGGATTAGGGGTGGGACACTACCCAGAAAAAATATTCTGCAAAAAAAGTTGATTTTGAAAAATGTCATATTTACATCCATCAGCACCTGGAGAGTATTTCCAGAGAGTTTCATTAGTTTACACCACATAGTTAATTTTTTATAAGTTATTTTCGGTTTTTTGAAGCTAAAGAAAAGGTAAGGTTGAAACACTTTGAACACATTTTTCTCCGTTCCACATTTTGGCATAAATTTCATTTTAGGAAAACTATTGTTTCTTAATGGGACAAGAGGAAAGACTTGCTTATTGTTTTTCCTAAGTGGAATTTTATGGGCAGTGCAACTATGGAATTGTTTTTTGACTTTGTGGATGTCTTTTATAAAAGATGTTAAGATTTTGTGCTTGACATAAAAGGCAAAAAAATTTATTTGATTTTTCACTGCAATGTTAGCATGAAGTAAATTCCTTTTTTGGAAATTTTCTTTTCACAGCTGCACACTCTAGGCATTCTGCTGCAGATCTAGAGTAGAAAAATGTTTGGTGTTACATTAGTTCTCCAACGATAGTTTTCCTAAACAAAGTCGGTGTGTTCCTGATAAAAATGACTACAAGTTATTTTACAACTCATGTACACTGATGAAACTTTGCACTGCATTCTGCCTTGCAACTTCCAGTATATACTCTAAATTTCATTCATATTAAGCCATAGGTTAAAAAGTTAACCCTATTGGGTAGTGTCACCCTTAAGTGACGCCGTGGCCTGTGACGTCACGACTTCAGTTTCCCCACTAGATTTAGCGGGAAAATCGATGCCACATGACCTCAGCACCAATTCAGTTTGATTGCTAAATTTAACGGGGAAAATGATGTCACATGACTTCACGCCACATAACCTGTACACAAATTCAGTTTCCTCGCTTGGAGAAATTGATGTCATGTGACATGATGCCATGTTACCTATCCTCATTCAGTTTGCCCACTAGATTTAATGGCGAAATTGACGTCACGTGACCTGAATGCGAATTCGGTTTCCCGGCTAAATTTAGCAGGTAAAATGATGTCACGTTACCAATACACCAATTCAGCTTCCCTGCCACATTTAGCGGGGGATTTACATTGCGTGACACCAATTGCATATCAGTGCTACCAGGAGGTGCTGCTGCTCCCAGTAGACAAATTCAGATAGCAAGTTCTGTCACGGATACGTGAAACTGTGTACACATAGTGCGTATTAAACTATCTGACGAAGAGCGCCGTGAATGTAGGCATTTGACGTCTGGAAACTCGGATTATCACTAAACATTTGTGATGTTACATTTCACGTATGCAACAAAATTGCCTAGCAATTTGCCTTACTGTCTTTTTTCTAAGTTTGCATGGGTTATGATATAAAATTTTTTCAAACTTTTCAGTCTTGAGATACTTTGATCTCTCTTGATTGATAGCGAAGACTGAAAATTTCTCAGTTTCGGCATTAATACAATAAAGCAGTGCAGAAGTCTAGAGACCTTGTGAAGGACAATGCACATAGTGTCTGGCTTGTTATGCGACTACAGTTGGCTTAGATCTGGCAAGATAGCACTTAAACTGGGGAAACGGGTTCTTAGGGGTGGGGACGGTTGGGGAAGTGTAGGAGTTTGAAGAACCAATGGGGGTACTTTGGGGAAACCCTTGGTTCCTGGGAACTGAGTTGGAGAACCCTCGATACAAATGATAGCGAGGCAATAAACCGATTTCACTCGGACGAATAAAAGTATGCGCGTATGCTGGTTTGTTAACCATCTGCTTCTAACCTTTCAGAGGAATAAAGCAAATGGGCTGCCCAATGTAAGGGGCTACAATTTCGTTGGTTCTTTGATTATACGAGGACTATTGTAATCGATACCCTTGGATCTTAGACGACAATTTTTAATGGCGGAAAAAGAGGTGTGTGCACATTTCCGCACAGCCTTGCTTTGTTTGGTAACGTAAGATGGTGTTAAATACTAGAAAGAACAAAACATGAAGGAGGGACAAAACAAAACATCATTCGGCATTAATGCAATAAAGCAGTGCAGAAGTCTAGAACTTTGTAAGGACAGTGCACATAGTGTCTGGCTTGTTATGCGGCTATGGTTGGTTGGTAAGCACTGTAAATAGGCGCTGTTGTTATGCGGAGGCAGTCTTGAAAGTGATTATGCACCGTACGCCCCTAAGCTGACAGTACAGTGGAAGCTACGTACTCAGACCAATCGTAAGTCTCCTTTCAGCATGTGATCATGCTTCCCTCCATACCACGCATGGAGAAGACGGGTCAGGTGATGAAAGGAGGCGGATGATTGGTCTGACTAGTGTGTATTTCCCACTACCCCATCAGCTTGACAGCGCAGCAACTTCCGGAAAAAGAATGGCGGGAAAGATGTCGTTGAACATTGTGGCACGTCGGAACACCAACATTCTTGACACACGAGACGCTCACGTCTTGCCTCGTCTTGAACTTGTTCGGACCGTTCTCTCCAGGACATGGCACGACGCATAGCCAGGGTGACCAAGGACGCCAAGCTGTGTGTGGACGAGGACCGCTACATCGAGTCGTTCAAGCCCCACCTCATGGACGTCATCTACTCCTGGAGCAAAGGGGCATCGTTCGCGCAGGTCTGCAAGATGACGGACGTCTTCGAAGGTGAGTGCCGTGCCGCCCGCATCCCCCGTCAGAATCTTGTCGGCAAAGACTACCGATGCGTCGTGCGGATATTGGTGGATCTTGTTAGAAGTGGGTTCTACCATACTATATACTACGACTATGGGGGGTTACTACATTTGAAGAACGATGTGTTTTTGCACATTGTATAGCCACTAACACAAAGAGAACGGCAGGGAGGCCTTTTGGTTGTCGTACCCCAGTGAGAGCTTCCCACATTTGATCATTTTTGGGCGTCTCGGGAGTGTCAAGCGTACGCGCTCGGCCAACACACGGCAAAAGACGACGACCGCATGAAAAAAGCTGGGCGTCCAAAAGAGACGCCACTCTCATCCCGACAGTAAACAATTGAGCACGTGACTGCTTTTTGTATGTCTGTACACTGCTGCGTCACTTCGTCACGTGCTCCCAAAGTAAGACAGCGTCGTTTCGTATCAAACCTTGGTGCACAAGAAACTTGGCGGTACCCCGAATAATGCTCATCGGGCATTTCGGAAGTTGGAATCAAAGTCATATTTGTGTTACGGAGGTCTGGACGGCAGCGAGCTTAGTTTGTCTTAAAATGGCATCCGACGTCCCACTCTTAAACGAGTCGCGTGTTCGTAGAGACGAGGAGAATGTAAATTTTACCTCGTACCGTGCAACTCTGTTTAGGGGTCCGATGGCTTTGATCGGTTTACTCTTGATCTTGCGGCAGCTTTTTGTCCGGGTGCCCCCAACACTGTTAATTGAAAGTTGAATTGATAATTTCCAGGCAGTATCATTAGGTGCATGAGAAGACTAGAAGAGCTGCTGAGGCAGCTGGTGCAAGCTGCCAAGTGCATCGGGAACACCGAACTCGAGAACAAGTTCTCAGAAGGTAAGCATATCCGTGTTAGGACGCCCCAAAGACTGAGGCGCCCTTTGTACTTGCAGCCGTCAAGCTCATGAAGAGGGACATCGTCTTCGCGGCAAGCTTGTATTTATGAGGACGAGAGGAGAGATACGCATCCGCTGTTAATAAATCTTTTATCGCTGCTCTGTACATCACCACCGAAAACTGGCCTCATTGCGTGTGCGAATTGAGGCCGTTTGTTCAGTGCGGCTGGGGAACATGGCCGTCTACGTAGAAGTTGCGCGTTGCCAGGGGAAGGGTCACTTCCAGGCCTTCCATGTCCTTGGTAAGAATGATCTGGCAACCTGAAACACAACAATCGTGTTGACAATGTCAGAAAAAAAAAAAAAAAAAGACTGAGAAAAGTGTACAGTACGGAGGCCAAGATTGTAAGCCCATATAAACGTGTTCCGTATGTTTTGTAGTTTTAACCACCAGGGGGCAGCATTGGCTACTTTCAAAGCAGCTGCTGAGCTACTTCGAAGTAATTATAAAAATAGTCCTTCATTGCAACATAATCAATTAGATGTATGAACTATTTACACGTCAGGGGAGTATCTCAAATTACAATTTATGTCCATTCTCTAGTTTTAACGCCCCGCCACTGCCGTGGTGGAGAGCAACGTGACAATGCAATCGCTCTCAACGGTGTGTCAAAAGCCCGGTCTGAAATTGGTTCTGTAGGCGTGATGTTGGTCGGTCATCACAGGGCATAGAGCGCACGCATAGAAAGCAAAGAGCTACGTGTGATTAGTTGTGACGCAAGAGCTGCACCAAATCCTGCCATGAACGGAAGTCTGCTTCATCTTGCACCACAGTGCTATTTTTGCTAACAATTGTGCCACGCCTCTGACAAAATAGGCAAAAGAAAAAAAATCATTGCTGGTTGACTAATATTTAGAGAAGTAGGAGGAGAGGAAGGTGGTACAAATATGTATTTCACGGTGTGTCTACCCAGCGTATAGTTTGTTTTTTTCTTGGGTCGGAACACAGTCGAAGGCTCGAACACGTACAACCTAAACGCATACTAAAAGCGCAAGTCACGGGACATTAGCTGCACATGATTTGTTTAGTCGATGAAAGACCACGCACAGGTCGATGGACGAATGCCATGATGTTGCCCTTTAACGCTGGTTGGTCCCATTAGCTCATAGCGGCGTCTGCGCTTCAAAATAGGTGAAACAAAGCACTGAGATCGCTTGTCAATCGTGCTAGTTGGTTGATGTGCTGGCTGATTGATTGCCGACATCGTCAAAATTTGTACACAATGTCGGCGATGTGAGGAGCTGAAAGTTGCAAAAAAGCATCGCCAAATTGTGGGATGTCTGCTCCACACATGGCACCGGAACGGTGGTTCTAGCACAGCGCACAAAGTGAATGTGCTGTCGAGCAAGATTAGCCCATTGCATATTCACTTCGTGGAGTTCAGCCTTTATACTAGGGGTCTCAAATCCACCCCAGTATAGAGGCCAGATAACCCACCCCCCAATGCCAGGGGCCATCGTAGAGCAAAATAAAACAAACAATTTTAGTGCGAAAAAAAAAAAAAAAGATAACAAACCAGCAATGGCAAAGCAGTTGAGTCTCTCTGTAACATCCCAGAGAAGAGGACTTGAGCTCTGACTTTTGTAAGACTGTCCTTTTGTCAAAAACATATTCAGCATCAAACATATATATTTTTTTTAACCTTGGGGCCCCTATTTGGTGTGATATAAATATTTAAAATGACCCTGCACCACATCAGCATGTTGGCATTTTTCAATGTAACAAAACGGAAAGCACACTGCCCTTGCCCCATCGCTCAATCCACTCGGTATTAAATCAAACTCAATGTGTCAAGAAAAAAAAAAAAAATCCTCATACAACAAGTTTCGCTTTTTTTAAGAAAATAAAATACTCGTATTTCAATAATATTTTCTGATGGCTAGAGGCCCAAGTTTTTAGCTTCACCTTTGACAGGTGCTTCTGGTGAGTGGGAGTTGGTGAAGTCAACGTGTGTTATAAGGACAGAGCTGTTTTCAGCAGAAATTAATTGATGACGAGACCATTATGGTGCATGCTGCAGGAACGCTCGAGATATAGAAACGGGGACTAGCAGGCATGGGATGTTGCGGGCCGCGTGTTTGCGACCCCTGCTTCATACTAAACTCTACAGGCTAGTTTCATGAGATGTCTAAATGTTTCTCGCTTCTCACCTAGTCTCGAGTTCTCCTTAAGGAAGGGTGCCAGATCCAAAAGGTCCTCTTCTCTGGAGGAGAAGACAAAAGAATGGTACCGAACTTCCCATCTTGCCTGGAGCAAACAAGGAGTGCTGCAGCCGACATCAACTCACTTCTCATCGGCTTCGGGTAGCTTGTCCAGGTAGTCGTCCTTCACGTAAACGTGACATGTTGTGCACGCAAGAGATGCTTCACAGGCACCTGGATGTACGAAGTACAGGTAGGCTCAAAGAAAATGCTCTGAAGACCGATTCACATCACACGATTTTGCTAGATTTTACAGTAGCTCCCACTGCCCGTTTTGGCCACATGGATGTCGTCACAACTGCAAAATGGCAAGTAAAATCGCATCATGTGAATCAGGCTTTTCACATCAACTCGTTTAAAAACATCACGCAATATATTTACTGGGACTTTGGACTGTGTGTAATCGTTGCGCTAAGTTCCAAAGGGTGGAAAAAACATTGCCTGTATTTTAGTTTATTTCAGTGCAATTATTTCAAGGAGGGTGCTTGATAGGTATGCTGCGATTTTATTGATACATCGCCAACATAATCTAGTATATGTTCGTAACGCAACTTCATGATGCGCCAAAATCTACTTGGCAGGATGGCGATTTCATGAAACAATGTGCAGCCTCGTAAATTAATACCGACACGTACAACGTAGCACTTGCGAGACGCGCCAATATTATAAATATGAATTTAGTATTGCCTCGAATCGCAATTTCGAACCAACCGCGTCAACACAAAACTATCACATTGATCATTTCGTATGTGCGCGAAGACGCATTAGGATTGAAAAAGCATTGGGCACTGCCTCTGTTGCACGCGTGCGCTTACCTTCCATCTCGACGCCGTACCGATGGGCCAAGTACAGAAGGTTGTCGCCTATTTTTCCACGTACTGGAACCCTGGTACCGTCCTTTTTAATGTATGTGATATTTACTCTGGAATTGAGACAAACCCCTCGAAGTTGACAAATTTGAACACTCCGTGCTGGGCAACACGACCTCGACTCACACTTGGTCCTCTGACTCTGGGTCCTTCCACTCGTTGCGCTCCTCGTTTAACAAACCTGGGAGAGGCAGCGGTGAGTCCGTAAGTTGTGAATGCAATGAACTATGCAACCGCGAACGCAAAGATTGCGAAACAAGCTTACGGCTGCTGCGACATAGCGTCCTTCGGGAATTGTGCGTGCTTCCGCTGCATCTGTGATTGGCCGACGACAGTTTGTTCAGTGCGATTATAAGTCTCGATAGTTTCGTGGGAAAACAAAGAATCGGTCTCCCCGCGAACATGGTTACTTTTGAGCCTTCATAACGTTCGAGGTCTTCGACGACCTCGACCGAACGAAGTTAGTCTGTGGGCTGCGCCATCTTGGTTTTGGGCCGCAGAGAATATTTTTTAGAAAATTTCTTAAAATGTTTAAATGAAGCATATTTTATTTATTGAACCTTGATATTTTATTATATGATATATTAATTTGTTTAAGTACTAATATAGGCTGATTTTCTTGTTTTGTAAAATGACGAATCGGAAAGCAGACAGCCATTCGCTGCACGCTAATGACAGGCGGCCGAAGGCGGCGTTGGCGGCGTTAGCCATGCGTGTTGTGTTTCTGTGGTGGAGCTCTCCTGTGTTGTAGCGTCCTCGTAGTCGCGACGCGGTCTGCGATGTGCCTGCTTCCCGTGCTGCGAGTGAAACTCTCCGAGCGCCCGACAATGTGATCCCCCCTCACTGGATCCCAACTACGACGGTGAATACCATGTCGCTACTCCAGCAAGATCACCGCTGCTGTGTTTGTTGACCTCCGAGTTAGCAAAAAAAGAAAATGGCCGCTCGCTTCGGCAGTAGTGCCAAATTTCGGGCCATCCGTGCCGCCCTGTGGACTTTCCTGACGTTCTTGTGCGGATCCGCGGCGTTCGCAGGCGAGGCTAAGGCCTCGATGAAACTCTTCGGGAACATCAGCAAGTTTGCGAACCGTTCGGGCGTGCACGAGTTTCTCAAGAGCAACTTGTTCCTCACGCCGTTCGCGAAAGAAATCAACGGCGCCGACGGTTCATCGTCGAATCGCCAGGATACCGTTGGGGACAGTATTTATCTGCGAGTTGAGGCTCGATCTCTAGGTTCCCATCTACGCAAGATCAGCAACGAAGAGCTCGGGGTCACAGCCATGCAGGTAAGTTCCGTTTCTTTTTTACGCCGTGTCCACAACTTCAGTCGGGTCGCGCGCATGATCTGACCACGTTCCCCGTTCCGGCTCAAACTTCGGTTCATGTAGGACACCACGTATGACTGAGTCCTTCTTTTATATAACGGCGAACGAATTTTGTGGAGTGTGTCCTTTTAAAAGCGTAATCTATGGCAGAAGCGCAGCGTGGATGCAGCGTCTTTCATCCGCGACGCTTGCCTGACTAATGACCTCGCTTGATTTCCTGAATGGAGACGCCGGAGCGCTCGATGTTTTGTCTTTGGCTGATCGCTCCGATCGTTTTCTCGTCATCACACTCGCTTAACTGTTTTTCTTCTTTTACGTGCGTGTTTTGTTCTGTTAAGTTACACTTTCCCCCCTTTAAATTTCTTTTTTTTTTTTTAATAGTAATTAGGAAGGGCTTGCATGTTCGTGTTAACGTGAGTTGAGTCAGTTCAGTTCATGTGAGGCGGTGCGGGTTTTGTTTGTAATGCGGTGCGTGGTGTTTATAACGACAAATCTTTATTTTACGGTTTTCTGTGTGCTTTTTTTTTTTTTTTTTTCCCATTTAGAGGTCCAATTCGTTGGTTGTGACGCGGGCTCTGCCGAGCGTGCAGCGTTTTTATCTGAGAACATGCTCGAGTGTTGTGTCCATTGTGCCACTTGGTCGCTCTCGATCTTGTTCGGACTTGCTTCAGAGCAGAAACACCGATAAGGAAAAATAAAAAGAAAAAAGGAAGAATTGGGAATTGTACAAAATGTAACCCCTCCCCCTTTTTTTTTTTTTTTTTTTTTTTTACTTTTTGATTTTTCCTTAAGATGGGTGGATACAGTTTTTTTGCAGCGACATTGTAATTCACCCTTACGTGAAATAGTTTCTGACGTAGAGAATCCATTTGGTGTGTCTTAAATTAAAACACAAACTCAGCTTTATTTTTCCTCGAAAAAAATTTTTTTGTCAGCAATGCTCCTAACTTTTTTCTCCCCTACCCCGTTCCTGTTGTTTCAATAAACGTTTTCTCTCTCTCTCTCTCAGCAATGCATGCGTGTTCGTTTCGCAGATACGCTGTTATTCTCGACTACCTGAAGACATTTTAACGTAGGAGGACGTCTGTAAAAAATATTTTGAACTCTAAATATATATATATATATATGTGTATAGACCGAACTCTATTCGTGCTCGTTTCACAGAAGCTATGCAGCTGGATGGTAGCGGATTCGTGTAGATCATTACTATTTCTCGGTATATCCATTGGAAGTTGTACGCCCGATGCGACTGCTGAGAAGAAATCTTCAGACGCGAGCGCGTCACAACATCTATGCAAACCTAAGTGTGCGCTCGTTTATCTACTTGTTATTAACTTTTTTTCTTCCTTTTTTTTTTTTTTTTTTTTTTTTATAGGGCATCTACGACAAGTTGCCATTTACGATGTCCGTGTTCGACGCTTCCAAACATTTGGACGAGGTAAGCGTCTTTTTCGTTTGGAATTTATTGCGCGTACGCGCACACACACACAAAAAAACACGTTCCTTTTTCATTCTGTTTGAACTTCCGACATCCTTTTTTTATACGTTTTCATGGAATGACTTCATGCTAGGAATCGTCGCTCTAAAAAAAAATTATTATGTTTGTTTTACAGTTAAAGGGTAGTGGTCTAAAAAAAATATTTAATTGATAGGCACTCGGCGATACAGAAGAATAAAAGGACAATCCACGCTACATGAACATCCATGTGGCAGTGCATTTTTTTGCAAAATTGTGTTTGCAAAAATTTTAGTTGGGTTGTGAGATTATTCCACATTTTTTTACATTCCGTCGCTGTTAAAGATGCTTTTCATTGTGTAATAAGGCAGGTTCCCAAGTCGGCGCTTGCAGTTTAGTGTCCTTTCCTTAAATTCTTCACTTTGGGAGCTTGTTCCAGAAGCAAGCTTCAGCGTTTGGATCATAAGAAAAAGCTGTCTACGCAAAGCTTTATGGGCACTATGAAGTACAAAGTATTACATGATAATATAATAGGATCGTTCATAATCAAGATAAAGAACCAAAAGCAATTGCTCTCTTGTGTTGTATAAAATCAAGTTAACCGTTGAAGTATGGTCTTATTAATTGGAGTGGCAAATTTCAGTTAGCTCCTCAGGTGGCATATTGAGCTAGTATGTAAATTACATTCATAGGCCGCAGTTATCGAGGAACGGAGCAAAATGGCAGCTACGCACATGTAAGTTTTGCCAACTCTCGGTGAAAGGCGTCTTGCAATACTGATGCCACGCATATTTCGAGCTCTCAAAACTTTATAGCAGCGTGTAGTAAGCATTATGAAAATTAACCTGACCGTGGGACGCAACTCTAATCTGAGTAGGTGGACAAGTACGAGAGGAAGGAAGCTGATAAAGAAGTGTCACTTTGTCTCAAGCTCAGGTACTGGGTGTATTGAATACAACAGGCTGGTATATCTTTCCACGATATACTTACAGTTCTTGTTGCAAGTTGTATCCCCTTCTAAGGTTCATTTGCGTCATAATTAATACACGCCAAGGGCTTCTGCTGTTAATGGCTGAAGCATGGTACTTTGCTTTGTGGCATCTGTGTTGGCCTTCCCTTTCAATTGCATCCCATTTCTAGTTTTAAAGGGATACTTCAACGAAATTTGAAATATACCAGCCGTGCTCAAAAATAGGCTGAATATGATCCACGATATCCGTAAATAACGATCGCACATTTGTATGTTGAGCCTGGTGGCTGTATTTTTCGTTATGAACGGCCCACTCTGGCAAGCGCTTGGAGAACAGCCAGCGGAGAGCATGTGACATCCAACGCAATAATGACGTAGTTCGTCTCGGGACGAGCAAAGCTACGGCGAGGCTGACGTCGAGAGGATGGCCTAGTCGTTCGAGCCACCGAAGCGGCTGCTTTTGTACGAATTTTGAGTGACCGGTTAATATTCTATAATCTTGTAGGGGGACAATAGCGACTTCTGGGACACACAAAAGGGATTCTCGGGAAGTGGGGTGTTCCTCCTTCCCCTCTTCTCTTGTCGTGGCCGGAGGCGAGACAGTTACCGTCACTACCTCTCAAGGTTCCTAGACTGGCATTACAAACAAGGCGTTAGCGACATCCACCAGGTGCTCTTTGCTAATCGCTAAATTCGTTTTTAAATATCTTTTCTTTACTTTTTTAACAGGATAGTGGTGTGTTCGGTGTGATACTGCTCCCTCGAACACATATAGGCCAAAAATTGAGCGCCGAAATTTCGTTGTAGTATCCCTTTAGTGCAAGTACACTTCCAGTTGATGTCCTGAGCAGAGCTGTAAAGTTTGCTAACTGCAACTTCGTCGCATTTTTGGGTTAGTTACAGTTCTCAACATTATACAGAAAAGTACAGAAATTCACATTGATCTAGTCTCACTGTTATGTGTATGATGTGCGTTTCTTCTTTTTTGTATGTTTGCTACATTTCTGCTCATATGACTGCAACTCAATTACCTTGTATGAGTAGCTTTTATAGGTCTGATCGTTATATGCAACTAAGTTCAACCAATCCATTTTTTTTTTTTTAAGAACATTTTATTTAGGTTAGGGTACTGAAAACCTAAGACGCGTCTGCCACGGAACGAGACGCAGCCCGTTCAAAAACGTGCAGCGACCGGCTTTTTTCATCGTCCACCAGAGGTGGTAGAAAAGGCGGCAAGAGGCATTTCGCCGTCGGAAGACAGCGGAGACCGGCGGGCGCGCAAACCCTGGTTGTTAGGGGGTAAGGGAGGGATAGATGGCTTTGGAAAGGCACGCCTTGGGAGAGGGAAAAGTGGTATGGTGGGGCAGGGAGGGAGCTTTTGGAAGGTGCTCTGCTTGGCTGTGCGCGCTGGAAGGCTGGAACCCTATAATTTGGGGAGAGTGGGGTGCCATTCGCGAAGCCCAACTCGCCTGCTACTCTAAAGAAGACGTGCTGTGCGTTTTAGTATTTTTTATTTTATTTTTCTCTTTCTTTCTTGTTGCGACCAGTTTCCATTCTTATGTAGTGAAGTGAGTTGGGAGGGGGCGGTTTCGAAGTCGGAGTTTTAGGAACGGTCCGGAAATTTTTAGGCAACTAATTTCTATTTTTTTTTTCCCGAGCAAAGTTTTAATTGCGCAGACGATAAGGGGAGAAGCGAGTAAGTGGTCGTCCTACCAGGCTAGATCAGTGTCCGAGATATCTAATCAGATCGTTTTATATGTCGGATGTGGATATTATTACTCTCGGAAGGACCGAAGATCGTGTGAAGTTACAATTTTTTTTTTTCTATAATGAATAAGTGACTCTGTGGAACTTTTTTTTTTTTTTTTCGTGTAATGGGCGCCGTTTGGTTTTCCATCTAGTTGTCCGCGAACTTGGAATAGAGGGGCGGCCTAACATGTCTCCACCCGGCTGAAAACGCATTGGCATTGTGACGTTGTATCGGTTTTCATTGTTGTTGTTTTTCTTATGCAGCCTAAAAAGCAATGAAAGTACTACCAATACTCGAAAAAAGAACCGTCATAAAAGACGAAATGCGCGCGAAGATGGGTGCTAAATTATGTTGGTACTGCGTAACGGCGACCTCCGGGGATGGCGACGACGGGAAGCAAGGCTGAGGAAGAAGGTACAGTGCGATCCGCTTTATAACGGTATTGAGAGTACCCGAAAATTAAGTCACAACCGATTATCGTTGTATCTGGACTAGAAACTGAGCGTTGAATGAACCTTTTTAGTCTTGAAACTCAATAAATTGATAATTATTTATTTGTGATTACTGTTGACCCGTGACCGGATCGTTGCAGGAGTGATGGTAACAAAACCATGCAAAATACCCAACATATGACGAAATATACATTCTTCAATCAGGCACAAAACTCAATAACAGTTACAGCGCAGCAATAACAACACAAGGAAAAACAGCAATGTGCATACTGCTGAGAAATACGTTAACGTAAACTTGGAATTTAAGAAAAAAAAATCACAGTTGCCAAAATAGCAATGCATCAAATCATAAATAAAAATACTAATAATTTAACAAACAAGGCATCAGCACCAACTCAATGCTACGATCGAAACAACAGTTCGGCGTACAAAGATGTTAAGACTCCGTCGACAGGTTGAGCAAATTATTAATAAAACGATCAACACCATCACAGTCAACTATGCTGTGTGGAAGGAGGCGGAAGCATGCGGTTCAGAGAAGCTCGTTTTAGCGAACGCCGTTTTACCGACCCCAGTTTTTCGAATCCCTTTATAGAGAAACCCAGCATTGAAAGCATGAGTACTTGTCATTCTTCGCCCTTTTTACCCCATAGTTGGGCGGTGTGGCCTTTCCTGTGTGTTCTAGATTGGCAGGGGATAAGAACTTAAAAATGGTTGATGTTGAGTAAGTTATTTTTTTAGCATAAAAATAAACTTTATACTTGCATTTTTCCGCCGGCTAGAGAAAAGTGGCAGATCGACATCATCCAGCATACTTTGACGGAGTCGGTTCTCTTAGCTAATATGAACCTCGCAGCCATTTTTCTATTTTATCAATTTTGTATTGTCTAGAAGGGTCCCACACAATTGAAGCATATTCCAAGGTCGGCCTTATTAGAGTTTTATACGCAAGGAGTTTTGTTGTACAACGGTTGTAAGTGAATTGCACTGTATACGCATGCGGTGAAGCTGACTGGGAAGAGATCCATTTTGTGGCGTGCGCTCGCATATACTACTACGAAGGCTCTACTTTGAGAGGGAAGGGAGCGGCAGTTTTATTGAGCCTCGACGTATCACATGTAGCATAACAGACACATTTATACTGTGAGAAAAACGTGGCCCCGCAAAGGGGCGAAGACTCTTCCTTGAATTATATACCACCATGGACATCAACATGCTCGAAGCGAAGCACGCGCTACGGTCCTGTAACCCTTAAAACGATGTGCTGGGTCTTAAATAAAGTGAAAAAGTGATTTGCTTGTTTGTTTTGCTGCGTCAGCGTGGCCTTCGCTTGTAAAAGGGCGCTGGAGGCCACGAAAATTTGGAAGCGGGCCGTGACGTCATGAAGTAGACCTTGATTGTTCGCGTTTACGGCATCGCGGAGCTAGCGTTTTATGGCATAATGACGGCCGATTTTTGGCCCCCCGTATTTCATAGTCGAAGGCTCTCCCGAAAGCGCTCATTGCTTGTTATTTTCACGCCATGACCGGAATAATTAGTCGTGGAACGATGCGCGTTTTTAATCGCCTCTTTAATGACGCTATTAGGTTACCCCTTTCAAAAATAATAGGAGGCGGGCGCGTGATCAGTAGGGATGTCGCGAACATTTGTCGAACCTGAGATTCGACTGGTGCGGCGAACCATCGAACTTTTGGTAAAGTTCGACCAAGAATGGGTGGATCGATGGCATTGCGGGAATTCCCTTTGTATCTGGAGCTAGCTAGCGCCACCTGGCCTCAAATCATTTATATCCCTCCCCTTTAAATTTTGC